CTTTGGACACATTATTGGTTCATGTAGAAAATTAGTAAATACAATAAGGAAAAAGGCCATAGTGTTCAATTTGTATGGGTCCCTTCACATGTGGGGATTGGTCTTAACGAAGCAGTAGATATAATAGCAAAAAGGCCGAGATCGACATAATATGTATTAAAACTTTGAAACAATTAAGGAGCAAATTACGGAAAATACAACCAATAGAAGATAATTTCAAAAAGATGAAATATATGAGAAAAGTGAAACAATGAAACATTACCATCATGTTCTCATGAACACAAATTTTACATATGGGAAAGATAGGAGCAGGTGGAAAGATTGAGTGTATATGAGGTTAAGATTAGGATATAAATATTATTGGGAACTTGGAGCTGAGAGAAGTGAACAGGATAAAGAATGTAGAGTTTGTAGAACATCCAGATCCCATACCCTGCCACATTATATACTGGAATGACCATTGCTTAATGTATATAGAAATACTCAGACAAATAATGTATCCAAGCAAGTAGCATGGATGTTTAAAAATAGAAAAGTAGATGAAATATTAAAGAAATGTAGAAATTTTGCTTTTAGAATATAACTCTGTACTATAACTGATTATATGAGATATATCTGTATTAGGGATTTATGGGAGTCCTGAGAGGGACATTCCTGGACTGGGGAGGGGATGACTTATGTCACTTATCCCTTTGAGATGGTTTTTTTTTGTATCTCAATAAACGTATCAATCAATCACAAGCCTGAGTATGACCACAATGGCTGAGTACGTCAGCCTTGTTGTCTCCCATCTTATGTTTTGTTTACCAAACTAATTTTAAATCTGTGTCTTTGATGTTCATACAACTCTGTTATTTTCATTGTAATTGAGTTACTGTTTACTGTGAACGCTGTCAACCCATAGAAACACCAATTATTTACCACCTCCATAATCTCTGTTTAAGTATCCTACATTCCTTCGACAAGTAAATAAAGTCCCTCTTGCAGAAGTGATCTGGAAAATGACTTCTATCCACAAGCCAGACATGACATCCACACGTGACATACAGCACCTCCCTGGTGGTGGGGCACTTGGCACTTCTACACATGATATCAAGGTCTCGAGGGTCTACCTTTGCTTTTAACATGGAAATATATGTGCGATATGTGCAACACAATTATAAAAATCCTGTTGCTGTCTTTGAAGGTATACATCTGTTCCATCTACATAAGACATCACGCACCTGTGCAGATGAAAAGGGTCAGCGAATGACGTTGTGTTCAAGTTGAACATAACGCTGTACATCAAAAAGGACTTGTTTCTCTCTAACCAAAAAACAAACAACGTTTTGTAGACCTACTAATTCAGGAACTGTAGGACAGCTCATGCTGCAGGAAGCTTGGTTTAGAATGTTCGGCAGTGCCGGATTTAGACCTGTGGAGGCCCATGGGCAGCCTCTTTGTGGAGGCCCCCCTCATTATAACTACCCAGAGGGTGGGGTGGCGAGTGAAGCCAGCCTAAACATCTGGGAGTTCCGGGGGCCGCTGTAAGCCCCCCGGGAAAATTTTGAAATTTGAACACTTCTTTGGAGAATTTTGAAGCCATATGCAATTATATTGAGAAAATTAGAACATTGAGAAATTTTTAATTAACTGTTTATTTATTGATAGTGTACAAATTCCCAACACACACACACACACACACACACACACACACACACACACGATAAATAATACGTAAATAAAAAAGTCGAAAACAGAAAACACTAAAACACAAAATAAAAATATGTCGATAAACAGACAATAAAACGAAATTTATCAAAAGTTTGTCCTAAACTATATAATTATAATCAATAAAATAAATTTTATTGCCACTAAAGTTAGGTTGGGTTAGGTTAAAGCTAGATTAGGTTAGATTAGAGTAGGTTAGGTTACGTTAAATTAGATAAAGCTAGCTTAAAATCTAGGTGATTCATTAAGTCGCGTATATACATTTTGTTCTTCATCATAATTCACCAAATAATCCTTCACAATACACCAACACCAAGAAACACGTTTTAATTAACATCCAAGAGAATAAGCAACTTCAAAGCGGCAGGTGACAAAAGAACTCCATTGCCGCATTTAACTCATAATCTAATTGACTCGGTTTCTCTGAATTTTATGAATACAAACAAAAATAGGATAAGAATCAACTAGTAACTGTGAAGATTTAAGTGGTGTGCAATGAACTGGTTGACTGGTTACTTTATAACAAGATGTGTTTAATCAGCTGTGAACTATTACTTGTTAATTTTGGATTCCGTTCGGTGTTATTATTATTAAATAATTTGAAATCTGTCACCTTTTACACTATTATTTTTGGTCGTGTTGACAGCTATAAGAGAATTCTAATGTAACAGAAGTAGGACTTTATTGTGTTGCTACTACAATAAATTAGTGCATTTCATGTCACATATATTGTTGGATCGTATCGCTTATCCTTAATATAACCAGAAATAATATTACGAAGGCCTGCAGGAAATGAACAAAGGTAATAAATGATGTATTTTGGCACGTCAGATATCAAAACTTCCTGCCGAAACCTGCCGTTAGAAATGCCGTCAACTGATCTTCACAAACATCAACACACACTACTCAAACTGGCATGTACTTATTCAGAAGAATTTACTAGAAATGTTTATTTGAAGTGATAATAAAGGAACCATATTTCCATATTTCGAAACTAGTTTTTCTTTGTCTCTAACCACTAAAGTTACATATTTAATTCCTTCCACTTTCAACCAAAATGACCCCCCCCCCACCACTACCTCCAGACCTGGCCATGGGCTTGTATAAATACGGTATATGCTATACCTGTACACTCACTTCCTCCCCCTCAGAGTAGCTGGCGCGGTAAGGGGCAGCAAATTCAAGGGGGAACTATAAGGAGACAAAGTACAAGAACATGAGCCAGGAATATTGCTTTATCCCAATAGGAACAGAGACTGTGAGCCAGAGACACCAAGGCCTTATATCACCTGTGTAGCGATTTAAAGGGAACGCTTCCTGAACACTGGGATCTCGTCCCTCATACAGTATAAGGAGCTCCTGTGAGTCTTCCAGTGTGACGTGTGAGCGTGTTTGTAAACAAAAATAAATAAAATCTTTGTAAAATAACAAACAAGAGGTTAGTAGAAGACCGTATCTTCTCAGAGTTCAGGAAAATTATCCTAAATTTTCCGTGAACGATTCTTATTCTCTTCTCTAAGGTGAAACATATATATATATATAAAATCACACGGGAAAATGGAAACAACGGAGTGATTTATCTTATATTGTGGATTTACATGAAATATATATATATATATATATATATATATATATATATATATATATATATATATATATATATATATATATATTTTTTTTTTTTTTCAGTAACGAGATGATCCAAGGCCCACAAATTGAAAATATATATATATATATATATATATATATATATATATATATATATATATATATATATATATATATATATATATATATATATATATATATATATATATATATATACTCTTTACCTTATTTTTTTTATTCTTCAGAATAAACATTATGGTTAGATCCCGCCATTGAAACCAAAGGTTCAAGTGACAACCTTATTTAATCACCAAGAAAAAAATATAATAAAATACCATCAAAGAATATTGTTGACCGACGAGCGACACCCTAGGGAACTGACTCACACCTGGCTTGTTGCAGCTAATGCCTGCAGGTGTGTGGGTCTCTCTTTCTCTCTCTCTTTTACAGTCTAAACATGTCATTAAAAAATTTATATTATAATTTATGTGCGTTAATTAAATAATTTCCCAGGAAGAGCAAGAGCCACACTGTGATCAACCAACTTCTTTACATCATATCATCATCCTCAGTGGCAAGAGAGCCACAACACATTACAGGAAGGTGATCGTACACTTTAACACGTTCATTGAAGACAAAAGGACACTTGGATACAAACTTAGTGTTATTTTACAATATGAGTTCAATACATAATATTACAAAATGAATTATGTAAAACCAGTCAGACGTGTTCAGATACTTACAACAGAATGGTCTGATGCAAATGACCGAATTTATTAATACGGTATGTCAATGCTTGTTTGTAATATCTGTACTTCTTTTTTTTTCGAGGTATGTGCGTGCGTGTGTGTACATGTATTTGTGTGTGTGTGTTTTTATTTAGAGGAATACAATCGGAGAGCCAACCTTCTTATTTGAGTCTCCTACAACCAAGATGGCCCAGTGTCAAATGTAAGATTAATATAAGAATATCTCACTGCACCGAATTATCCTCCATAAGATTATCTTGTTCATCCATCACATCAACTCACCCACAGACAGTTTTACCTCTCGTATTTTTAATGTTGTTGGAAACTTAGAATAGTAATTACTAACCTTGTTACGGTCTTAAAAACCTTCGTTGTTGAAACTCAGTATTATAAAAAAAATAGCAACCACCAGCCAGTACATTAATCTAGCCTCACTTGTCTTGTGTTTTGTTACAGACTTATTTGACTTTATGTTGATAATATGGCAGACGCCCTCGGTTTCAATAATCGTATTCAGTTTTATGAATTAACGCACTTATTAGTATTTTCTTTAAGATAATCATCACGCCCAAAGAACGGCAAATTAACCAGAACACATGCAGCCTATCGCAACTTGATTATAGCTTAGCAATTGTAATAGTCCATCAACAATTAGAAATTACGAGACAACACCACAAGAAGATTATGATATTTATAAATAATATTTTCTAAAAAAGGCTACTTAATTATGTTTCGTTGACATAATACATATAGTACAGGTAAAATCATCCAGCCTCTACATTGTGCTTAATTAAGAAACTAGCAAAGATTTAATACATATATTTTATGATCGTTAATACACAGTGTTTGTTACTCTTTTACACAAATATTTTATATTCCAGCAACTATTGAAAAGGGAAAGGAAATATTGGGGTAAATAATCAGATTCCGATATCACAAGAAGTGTTTAATGTGAATTATCAGAGATAATTTTTCTGTCGTAGTTTGATTATAAGGAAGATAACTCATGATTTGGTGTGAAATAACACTATATATATATATGTACGTCACGTTTTACCGCTGAGCTTGAAATTTTGGCTGAAAAATTCATGTTTATATGTTGAACTTGAAGTTTTGGCGGGAGATGGTCGATGGTGGGTTGGTAGGCTTTACCAGATCTCGTCATTCACTGCTGCTGTACTGCTTAAGACATTCTTCGTCGCCTGGAAGATAAATGTTTACAATATAAACAAATGAATAAAATAATCAATAATGAATGAGAATAACTTTGATGACTGACTAATGACTAACTAAATACACCTCACTCCTACAACACCAGTCACTACACCACACTCCTACAACACCAGTCACTACACCACACTCCTACAACACCACGGTCACTACACCACACTCCTACAAAACCAGTCACTACACCACACTCCTACAACACCACGGTCACTACACCACACTCCTACAACACCAGTCACTAATGTCACTACACCACACTACCAACTACCACACTCACTCACTACAACAACCAGTCACTACACCACACCTCCTACAACACCATTCACTACACCACACTCCATTCACTACACCACCACAGTCACTACACCACACCCTACAACACCACAGTCACTACACCACACTCCTACAACACCACGGTCACTACACCACACTCCTACAACACCATTCACTACACCACACTCCTACAACACCAGTCACTACACCACATACCTTGCCACAAGTCCGTGTTTGAGTCGAAGAGCCAGAGCAGCGTCGTCTTGGGGGAGATCGAAGGTGTCATCCATCAAGTCCTGAGGGAAGACAAACACATGAACAATAACACGTCGTGGAACAAACACATGAACAATAACACGTCGTGGAACAAACACATGAACAATAACACGTCGTGGAACAAACACATGAACAATAACACGTCGTGGAACAAACACATGAACAATAACACGTCGTGGAACAAACACATGAACAATAACACGTCGTGGAACAAACACATGAACAATAACACGTCGTGGCATGAACAATAACACGTCGTGGAACAAACACATGAACAATAACACGTCGTGGAACAAACACAAGAACAATAACACGTCGTGGAACAAACACATGAACAATAACACGTCGTGGAACAAACACATGAACAATAACACGTCGTGGAACAAACACATGAACAATAACACGTCGTGGAACAAACACATGAACAATAACGTCGTGGAACAAACACATGAACAATAACACGTCGTGGAACAAACACATGAACAATAACACGTCGTGGAACAAACACATGAACAATAACACGTCGTAACACGTCGTGGAACAAACACATGAACAATAACACGTCGTGGAACAAACACATGAACAATAACACGTCGTGGAACAAACACATGAACAATAAACGTCGTGGAACAAACACACAATAACACGTCGAACACATAACACGTCGTGGAACAAACACATGAACAATAACACGTCGTGGAACAAACACATGAACAATAACACGTCGTGGAACAAACACATGAACAATAACACGTCGTGGAACAAACACATGAACAATAACACGTCGTGGAACAAACACATGAACAATAACACGTCGTGGAACAAACACATGAACAATTGCAGGTCACGGAACAAAAATGGGTGAGACATAACAAGGGACGGTATTACTCACGGCCAGATGTGAGGCGACCTGGGTGAGGGTGGCCAGTCTCACGTCCTTGCAGGGGTCGGCTCCTAGGTCAGAGCCGCCCCCAGGGGTGACGAGGGGTCCAGTAATGCCCCCTGACCTCTTGCCCTGGGGCACCCATGAACGGGAGAAGGTGATCTGCGCCAGGGTAGGGGCGAGCGCCAGGCACATCACCGCCAGCATGACCTGCCATCCGACCATCACTGCTCAAGAGACCTCGAAGTGGGGAAAAAGACAAGAGCGAGTGTCGTTAGCTGCTGGAGGAGGCGGCGAGGATGAGGTAGCTGCTGCTGATGGTGGCGAGAGTGACTCAAGCAGCTGACTCTGACTGGACGGCTGGAACTCGACTGAAGATTTTCAGTCGTGTCGGGGTTTATATAGGGCATGAACCCGTAGCCAGTTACGCCCACTGTTGTTCCATTGGTCGCTCCTCCCGCCTCCGATGTCATCTTTCCCTCCGAGCAATGTGCGCTGACACACACACCCACATACTGGTGGTACACGTACATGCGTACTTATCTCCGCGTACATAACTTCATACATATGATTGTACAGCTAGTTAACGTTTCTTCAGTGACTTCAACATTTGTCCTGTCTTCACTCACACACACACACTGAAATGACATATAGTACGCTAGAAAATTGAAATTATTCGCATTGATAATAATATAACTAATACCAACAATGAAAACATAATATATACATTGTTTCATTACTTAAACAACAACAGTTACAATAAAAATTACGAAATTAAGGTTAAGATTATACAGAAGATTATCCTCGTAATCAGTCAGTGTTTATGTAAATGACGCGGGAAAATTAAGCATGGTTAACAGTCTATAAATTGTTCTGTGATCTGCTTACTTTTTCTCATTAACTAGCTCTCTTACATACTCGCTCTTCATTTACATTCTCTCCTATCCCCCTCTCTCATAGCTAAGCAATATAGAATTCCCTGCCCAAAACATTAACTAGATACATTCACTTTACATAATTAGGAGACATAAATACGGTCTAGAATATTTTAACATTTATAAGCTTTTAAATATTTTTACCTCTACGTCTTAAATTGAGTTTTCGGTTCAATATATCTGTACTATACTGTAAAATGGTGATCAGAATACAATCTTCATATCTGAGGGTTGGCGACCACAGTCCTCTACTCTAAGAATTTGTATCCTCCAAGAATTTGTATTTCTCTGGGGACTCAATTTTTAATTTCATTCATCCATCCCAGTCTGTCTTCACCTCACCCTCATACTCTCAACATTGCCCATTACTATTGCTGTTATTATCCCCTCATCCCTAATTATATGATCAAAATAGCTTGATTTTCTGTATACGTGTTTCAAGTATTTTTTTTTAAGTTTTTGCTAATCTTTGTACTTCATTTGTTTTCCTGTCAGTGTAACTTATTCTTAGCATTCAGAAGCTTCCATCTTCTTTCTGGTGTCTGATGAAAGTGTCCACTCATCTGATCCATGAGGCGACATAAAACACGATTGTGTGTTTGTTGTGTTGTGTTTGAAGATCATTCTATTCTTAATAACAAACTTACAGAATTTAAAATTCACATAAAATTTTGCCTTTACAGTGAATCCAAATTAGCTTTATATTATGTTATTTTTTCTTTATCTGAGAGTCGCAGGTAAGCAGGTGTGAGCGTATAGACCTCTGACACTTGATGTAAACATAAGCTACTTAATGACAGGTGCGGCCTCGCTCCATCCCTCCTCCCCCACGTAATAACCTCTATGTTGGTGGTTGTCTGTTGACATTTGGTAGGGCCAACCATGCTGAACTTGTTGCTGGTGAGGTTCCAGGTAAATCATGAAATGTCCCGATATCCTTGGAGGCTGAATGGATAATAAGAGTCAAACAATGAAGCCTTGAAGAGTCATGTACCACCTGGATTTCCAATTATCACCGAAGGTGCTGTATCTTCTAAAGACTAAATGGACTACAGCTAAAAACAGCTAGGACTGACTGGCTTCGACCACAGTTCCAGCTCTCCCTCTCTAGTGTTCACAACTTACCTAGTGCCAGGTCCTGAGAGGGGTCACAGTGACAGGTGTGCAGCTTCATAGTTTCCTTTACACATTTCCTGATTCAATCCTCTTTACAGGTTGTTGCTGTCCAGCTTCATTTAGAAAGGAAATTTAAACTGTTCCTTATTTCTGCCGAGTGATCTTGATGATCATGATGGACTTATTCACCACCTCTCTTGTCCATTTCATATATGGTAACTTCAGCAGTCAACATCCTCTGTGGGGGACACCTCGTCCTACCCGAGTTTTGAATACAGTAGCTCCACCAATATCCATGTGGAGACCTGCTCTTTCACAATAATCGACCTGCCTATCAGTTAGTCAAATACCATATTAGACTTGAGTGGAAGGTGGCCCATAATCTTCTTGGGAGTACTATTTCCCGATCATTCTTTGCTCAGCTCGAGGTCCACCTTGGTGGTGCTTGGATAGGGCAGACTGGACCAGTTGCAGACTTGAGTGGGATTTTGGCAGCCATGGATGTGGCTGTTTTCATATGGATAGCCACATTCCATGGAACCTGCATACTGTCAGCACAGATGCCTAGTTGAGTTTCGGCTGTTGAAAAACTTCTGTTTTAGGTTGTAGTTATCAATAGTGTTGACAACACAGGCTAGACCATGTTCTACAGAAGCCAGCCAACCAATAAGCTGCCATTTTGGTACAGCAATAAATTATTAGAGCTATGATATAAATCAGCATTACAGTAGTATACATTCACAAAATGACAAAAATACTTAATAATTGCCAAAACTTTGACAAATGGTCAGATCAACACCATTTCTTGTGATTACTTCATATGTGCTGGTGATGGTCAAATATAATGTATCGTGGGCCAAACTCAGAAGCCAGATGGGCCACAACAACACTGTTAGGAGGTGGAATCTCTCCAGGTCTTATTTCCAGAGGATGAAGTTTTTAAGTTTAATGAGAAGGTTGGCTTTCTCCAGAATATATAAATTACTGAGGTCTATATAAATCTTTTTAACCATTGCATAACTACATCTACACTTATGTACTGTATTTCACCTAGTTTTGTTACATTATTTTAAAACAAAAACCCTTTTAAAATGAATAAAGCATCACAAGACTTAAATTGTCACACTGCCAGATGTATTGCTGTACTTATAAATCAATCAATCAGTCGCTCCTTACTGTACCACGCTGCAGACACTGCTTCTCGTCTGATCTGTGATGTTAAGCAATTTTGGGTCTGGCCAGTGCTTGGATGGGTGACTGCCTGGGAATACCAGATGCTGTTGTCATAAGGACCCTACTGGAAATAAGCATCCCATGGTTTTGTCGGCTCTCCTTGGTCAGACGGGAAAAAAAAATCCTTCTGCCATACTGAAAGTAACTTGCAATTCCTGAAGACTATGGCCAGCTTCCACAGTCAATAAAACCTGTGACAAATTGTTCTCATTATTCAAGGATTATGGAACAAACTGTTAACATACAAAAGTGACATCAGAATTCCAGACTTTTTCCTAAATCAAATATTTTCAGTTAACTGTTGTTTTTTTGCAAACTGTATTTATCATATCTAGTTAACATATCTAGTTAAGGTTGAGTCCCATTCTTCATTTAGTCTTCAACAGTAGCTGGTGTAAGTTATAATAAACTTATCAATCCCACTACACACTTTATTTGTTAACTTACGTATCAAATTCACAAATAAAAGACGAGGTACATGTGGTTTACAGTTTATTTCAATCTATGTGCTTTATAGATATCAATGGCTTGATAACAGAATATACAAAAAATACTGTAATAATATATAAATTACTTAATCATGTTTCATAATCAAAATCACAAAACAATTTCCGAATGTAAAAAAAGGTACAGTACACGACACTTGTGTGCCTCCGAGCGACTTATATCTGTCCGTATTTCACAACACAATACATGTATACAATAATGTATTTAACTGACAGTAACTGAAAACCACTTTCCATTACTACTAACAATATGGAGATGTAAAAAAATATAAACAAACAAAAGTTTTAAAAAAGTCTTTGGTGCAACAGTGATAACCTTAAGCTATATTTCACGATTTTTTTTTTTCATATAATTTCAGAGTGAAACACCAAAGTACTATGTTAAAAGATGAAATTAATACAGAAGGCCTTCCATTATCATCTAACCTGCAGGCTCTAAGAATCTATTCCATATACATTGATCATTCACACAGGAACTTGAATTCTTAATGATGTACCATTAATTTGTTAACTAGAATATTTCACTGTGGTACAATCCCAAATGATTCACAAATACCCACAACTAATGAGGAGAGACTCAGCTCAGCCACCTTATCTTATTGCACACAACTGAATGAGTGACCTGCAAATCAAATCTCAAGCCCAAGGTCACAATGAAAATGATAGTGAAAAATAAGAACAATATGTCTACCATAGCAGCTTTTAGACTGATCCATCAATTAGGCTCGGCTCACTGTTGATATCCTCAACAAAAATCAGTGTTTGTTAATAGACTGTCACTTGGTGAGTGGGTCACATTGATACATCACCAACATGGCAGTGTCATTCAATTTCCAACCAACAGTTACAAAAGATGACGAGTATACCGAACTTGTATTATAAAATTATAAAACAAAAGTATATTCTCCCAAGCCTCTGGCAGGTGTTCGTGTACTGTATTTATCTACTCAAAATATCCGAGGATCACAAGAATAATGAACCACTTGGAGAATGCTGCTAAGCCATGGTAACTAATTTTAATAATATAGATCTTCAAAAATATCAAGATTCGTTGACACCGTTGTTTCCAAACAATCAATCCCAAAATACAAAAATCCCAATACTTTTCCATCCTCAACTCTTCATGCCACACTTTATGCAAAGCTATTTTCTTATACAATACCATACATAAATTGGTTCCAGCACTTGCCTCCTATCCTAAAAGTTGCTCAAAGCATTGCCAATCCACCCAACTGTGAATGGATACCTAACTTTACAACTGAGGAAGTGTAAGTGGCAAATTGCAGCACCAGCACACTGCCTCAGTTTACCCAATGTTTAGCAATTTAGTGATATATCCAAACTGACCCATAATGGGTCTTAGGCTATGGGACTCTCATTTAAATCTCGAGCAGTCTTGGGTCTATGCAAAAGGACTGTTTTTTATATGGTGTTACCTCTAAGTGGCTCTATTTAAGGAACCATTCTATTCATTAGTGTACAGCAACAGTGTCTCATGATTACATATATATAACCAACTTAAAGGTACTGGACCTTTATCTGCAATACAATATCACTTAACATATACCTTGTATGTGCAAAGTTTAAGAGAACTTGATAGTTTATCATTTACAGCACTGTACTTGCTTTTCACAAGAAGTGTTATGTACATTTTTTTTTTCACCTGTCCTTACTCTTTACATGTGATGGACGATACATGAAAATATTTTTTACACAAATGTGAACATGGTTAATATCCCATGCCAAAGTTACACCATCTGTGTCTTAGGTACTATATCTCAAGTCAAATTTGCTTAGTATACTAATCCTACCCCGCCTGTTCTCCAATACTAACTCAACTCCTCTAATACTTTATCTGTTACTAGCTACACAAGGTTGTAGGTCATTAAAGCTACATTTCATTCCTATACTCCTTAATGTGTGGTGATGCTTACTTGAGACTACCTTAACATCAAGGCTGCCAGTGTGGTCACAGGCAGTCCTCAACTTACGAAAGGGATAAATTCCTGGACCCTCATCATAAGTCAATTTGTTGGGAAGTCAGAAAAGAGTTAATTCCATAATTTAGGTTAGGTTAAAACACAACCTTTACCACACAAAACAAAATTAATATCCCACACATAAATTTTTGGGGGGATGATGTACAGTGTACAGTATTTGGTTCCTGTTTGTAAGTGCGGACGATAATAAGTCGGACGGTCATTACTCGGAGACCGCCTGTATCAAACTCTAGGTATACAGATATTATATTACTATAATATGTCTGATTTAATAATCATCTGGACACTGCCGTTTTTGGGGAGGTGTTGCCACCTCTAGAATCTTGCAGCAACACTTTAAGCAGCAAGTATTATACCACAAGTACTTCAGGTTCTACCAATTTGTATTTAGTACCCTAAACTTTGCTCAAGCCACAACACAAAACCCAATCAGTACATGCAAAACACACTCAAATAAGGCTGAAGATGTAAACTCTTCGTGGAATTATTTCCTGCAAATTGTGTGACGTTTGCCTATGAACTTAAAACTATTTACAAGGTCCTGACTTGTCAGAAAAGTGAGCTGCCCACTAAATAAAACACTAATTGTAGATACTGCAATTATAAAATAACAAATATTTTGATAAACTTCAATTACTGATCACTCAAACCGAAATACACATACAGTACCGGTATATCTAAAACGATAACTTGAAAAAAAAAAATTTAAAACAATTATGCACATAAACCATTTCCTGCCATGATAATGGGTGGCTAGAGAGGTGTTAGTCTGATTCTTAGCAGTCAGCAGGTTATCTCACCGCTGTGGCAGGCACCTAGTCAGCTTGTCCACCAAAGAATTATTTTACCATTGCTAAGTGCACTCTAAAGGTGTACAGAGCTCATTGCTAAGTGCACAAGGGGTAGAGAACAAGGTGAGATCCCAACCATCACTTCAGTCAGGAATCAAACCCACAATCTTTTGCTTGCGAGGCAAATGCATTACCAACCGAGTTGCATCTTCATCTATACATACTGTACTGTAGAGTATATAAATATTATACAGTACAGTACTCTTATAATGTACACCCCGTGGCTTGTTTAACCAAAACATACTGTGACCAAAAGGAAGCTCTACTCATGCATCACTCAGAATATACACAATGTAAAAAACATAGGTTATAAATTTCTGCCAACTAAACCCATCGTACAAATTTTTTTGGAATGCTGCATACATCACAGAGAACACTTTAATTTTACATATTTTAATTAGATGTTACTTATACAGAGTAAGCGTGTATCCACTATCATCATCATTCAAACTTTAATTTCAGTCCCAATATCTCTACTACAGTATATCCATCCAGATCAGTTTTCTATATTCAAGTAAAATACATATTTTTCCCACAAACACAAACTCTCGGGATACCATATGAGGCTACTCAAGAATACACACAAAATATACAACTGCAAAATCAGGTCAGCCAACTCATGCCTGCATAACATGGTGGGCCTTCATACTCACAGAAACCAACTTAAATCTACTTATTAGATACAAAGCGTTCAACAACTTACTAAACATGAGAACATAATAAGCAGTAAGGCTTCAATACCATGGCTACATCAACCAAACCAGTGCACAAACACCAGACAAACTGAGTACCAATTTGGGATAACTATTGAGTACTTACATGTTAAATTGGAAATAAGTAACTAGAACACACTGTGATCTTAATTCTAAGTTGAGTGTGCCACTTTACTGTTTTAGTCATTTGAACTGCTTGATAAAATAATAAACAACATTGTTCTTCAGTAATTCTGTCACAAAATTCAAATCAGTTACATCACTCTCTCCATACTATGGTGGGAGCATGATGCCGCCTAAGGCAAGAGCAGTCCCTGGCCACATAAAACCGAATCTACCAACTCAAGAATGAACTGTACACAAGTGAGACAACACCCCATGACTAGAGGGAAATCCTGAACTGATAAATCTAATCAACTAGAATGTAGGCTCTCATGCCCACTACATGGATGCCACTGACTTCTTCCATCATTCTAATAACATATTTAATCTAGGTGTACTTCAAAATAATTTGGCATTTACTGTTGGTATAAAAATATATATATATAACACTATTTTCATAGGCATATTTTGTGAGTGATTTCTGACAATAATATTCCGTCCAAAACAAAATTTCTATCAAACAATAACACGTGTACATCATAAATTCTGTTTTCCCATACTCAAAGATAATCAGCCAAACATATATTCAACATTTAAAGAAGCAAATGGAACTCTGCTCTTACAGATAAACATTACCTAATACACACCAAGGAAACATAGGTTCTTATATTCACTCATATATCTCAAACCTGGGATCAAAAAGGGAATAGATTCATTATCACTTGACCAGGGTGACTTACTGTATGCCTGACTCATCATCATCAGTCTTATCTTCACACATTTCTATAACAAACCCAACCATCTCACCCATACATTCCACTTACTACCTCACTCATATACTGTACAGTACTCACAATTATCACCTCTTACCAATTTTTATAAACACTATTTTCTCTCTCTCACCCATGTGCTCTTTCGATTTAACCATATATTTCATTGTTTGGTTCTCCCCTTCCTCTTCTTCACATGTATTCTTAATTACTCGAATCCTTCCATACAAGAAACCACCTCGACTTATATCTCTCTCATCTTGTACATCTCCCCCATCATTCCAACCTTTTACTGGGATTGAAAATTGGTAAATGCTCATTACAATCCCACATTCTATATCTCTCACTGTTTCAAAGACAAAGAATCTCAAAACTTCATCTCTAAACTATACTACTGGGGGTGTTGATGCACAGTAAGACCTAAGGTTTTGGTTACCTAAGACACATCGATAAATCAGAGATGTGTTACATATTGCCAGTCATCAGCCACTACCCTGGTCACCTTCCTAAAATGATTTCACCGCCTTCAGGAGTCTGATGCAGTAGAGGCCAAAATTCAACTTCTCAACACAAAACCACAAAAGCTTGACTAAGTTTTTCAAGTCATCATTCATCAGTAATGCCAATGCTAGAGTTTACACACCTTTCTTCAGTGGGTCAGTCTGAGGCATCTCTAGACTGCTAACTCATTACCAAAATTGCTACAGCTTTCCTAATTTACAGAAAAAAATCACTAATGAGAACACACACAGTGAATAATGGTACTGATGCAAAGCAGATTCTTGCCTCTTTACAAGCTGGAACCAAAAGCCTCTATTGATAACATAAACTAACAATAAAAACAGTAGTAATAAAAGTCTCACCATGAAACAGAGAGGATCATCCATTCAAGAATAAACAAAGAAGCATTTGCCTTCAGGTAACTGATCAATAAATCCAACAACTTTATTCTGACCTCAGCCCTAACTTCCAAACACTAGCCAAGCAGCTTAGTGATCCAAAAGGTTACAGTACAGTTTCATTGAGCCACCTCTATTTGAAAGAGTGACACAGATTGCTGACAAACTTTTTTTAATCTGTGCTTTAATTCTTAAATACAGTAATATACAAAAAGTGCATCTTGCAAAACCCAGTAAATTATACTATGGAAAATACCCAAATTATAACATTTCTTATGAAGGTCAATATAAGAATGAGAAAGATGTTGAACCTCTGTTTTGAGCAATTATTACAAATACAGTTTAATGTATTGCTGGAGGCACCTTACTAATGTGTGGAAGTTTTCTTGTGACGGTTACACCATTACAGTTGGGCCACTACAATAGTTTCATGTTGATAGACACTTCTAATCTTTCTACCCATGTCACAGCATCAAAGCTTTTCTCTCATCATTAAGAAAAAATATCATAGCATAAAATTATCACCAGAAATTAAACGTAAAGTATCTTCAATGTGAAAAATATGGTGAGTATCACTACATGTACGACTTAAACTTAAGCTTACATCTCATCATCTTCATAATTTATTTCAGGAAAATCTCCAACTTCACAAAACGCTGGTCGAGCGAATCCTCCATATTTCATGGGACATTCGAAGTAACGTTTACCACCGATGCTGAAAAATATACAATATTTCAGATTAAATTGATCAGTAAGTACTAGAAATTATTAAAATTATTTTGTTTCTCAGCCTGACAGCTTACCCTCATTTCCTGAGAGCGGAGATAACTTCAGAAAACAAAGAATGAAGGAGGAAACAAGACCAGATGGAATGAACGCAATACTTCACTCCAGTGCTCCCCTCCCCCACCCACATGGAACAAATTCACATCTCAAACAAAAGAATGATGGATGAAATTTACACAAGACCATAACTACATACAGACAACACAATTGCTATATTCCTCCAGTCTTCAAGTTAAAGAGGGATATTATGCAAGAAATAATATTACAAGAAATGAGGAAGTGGAAATACAATGATAAAGTGAAGAATGCATAAAAGGTTAAGAAGCAGTGAAGCCAAGACCTGGAACCAAACCAAACCCACTCACGACTCAGACTAAATATTCACAACTTTAGTGTAAAAATTAGTGATTTGTATGGCTTGGATAATAGTAATAGAAAATTACCAGAGGAAAGACACAAGTTTAAAAAAAAAAAGAGAGAGAGAGAGAGAGAGAGAAAGATTGGACTGAATGACTGAAATCTTCCCAATTCAATACGAAAAAAGAAGAGGAAAATGACTTGCAGTAAATGTACCTCACTTAACATCACCAAGGCTCAAGTAAACAGTCAAGGGAGTGGAAGTATGACAACACAAACACTAAGAGTAATGAATCTTAAACTGTTTGTTGCCTCTAAGATATATAGTAAATGTACAATACCTCCACAACAGAAACCAGAAAATAAACAACAGAAAAGTACCAACAGTAAAATGAAATCATTCTTCCATGACAACAGTAAAATGAAATAATACTCTTAGAAGTCTAAAAAAAAAAAAAAAATATAATCATTATATGAGAACAATGCACATACATATAGGTTAGGTTAGGTTAGGTTAGGTGAGGCTTCTCTTTACCTTCCATCATTCTTGCCGAGGGGCTCATCATATTTGACGCCCACCCATAAGCCAGACTTGAAGTGCACCTTGCCAACGTACATGACTTCTCCGCGGCGCACAGCTTCACCCTGAACTCTTACCTGAATAAAAAAAGATAAAAATAAATAAAAAAATAAATAAAAAAATAAAATACATAAGTAAAAAAAAAAATATATAAAATAAATAATAAATGGAAATAAATCAAGTGAATCTGGGTTACTGTAGCACACACATGCACAGGTAACTCACATTTTACGCGCGTTTGATTTTAGCGTTTTTTGGAATACCGAGATTGTTCAATTAACACCAAAACTTAATTTACAAGCACCTATCTTTTAAATAATGCGCTCAAGACAGTTTAAATTTGTCGTGTGTATTTGCCTGGTCGCGTGTGATGCCTGGTGAGATGCTTGGAAGTTATTAATATAAAGTCGCAGTCATATCAATATCAACGATTTTAATATTATTATTAATAATAATAATATTTATTATAATGTAATAATAAAGATTATTACTACTACTGATGAAGGTAATAATGATAATGAAGTACAGGTATTCTGTACAACTGTGACGACGTCCAGCAAGCTTCCCGTGCATCACTTTCTCAGTTCACACCAGCACTACTTTTTCTCTGTGCTTTCATTTGCATTGTGTGCTTATCACGTACCTTTTTAGTGTTAAACGCTGTTTTCCCCCATTGAGCATGTCTGGGAAACGTCCATCTGCCTCCTCTGGGGCCCCTAAAGCTAAAAAGGCACGGAAAACAATCGCAATGGACGTGAAATTAAATGTAATCACTCTCCTTCAGAGAGGAGAGCGCGTGTCGGAGGTTTGCCGCGTGTTTGGTATAAGTGAGAGCACTGTTCGTACCCTGTACAGTATATGATGGTTCCCCTAACCTGTGCAATTTACATGTATTCTTATGGGAAAATTATGTTTAATTTACACGTTTTTTAATTAAGCGGTGATTTTCAAGAACGTAACCCCTGCGTAAAACGAGAGGCGGGTATATACTGAAGATTTAAAGCTGATAATGGAGGCACCTTGAAAACACTCTTCAGTGGGGTAGCACCCAGGACAAACTAGCAGGACACGAGAAAGAGAACGTCTGAAAAATCATAACCCAGATTCTCAAAGATGTGAATTGTAAATTTTCCTTTTAGTTGGAAATGCACGACTAAAACCAATTGGGTCATTTAAGGTCAAATTGAGGGAGTTACCCAAGTGGTATGAATACAGTCTTACTCTGTACTTCATTAGTTCTAAAAAATAATGAAAAATTGGTCCTATTCCCAGATTTTTTTCGCAGACATTACAGATGTACTGATAGACAACATGAGCTACTGTTTGCAATACATAAGAGAAATTCTGTCGTTTTTGAAGCGTTACTAAAACTGAACTGTACTGTACCAAGATACAGTTCATAATATCCTGTACAGTATTTTAATCCACAAGAAACAAGATTAATTCCAAGATCAGAAAGATCCCACACTGATTTCAGCCATCTTGCCTCTGGCTGCTGCTCATAACATTACAGATGACACCATGATGATGTAAACTTTCTCGTTATTGAGAAAACACAAAAAATTATAATATAGGCAGTCCCCGAGTTACGAACGGGTTGTGTTCCTGGACCCTGTTCATAAGTCGATCTGTTCCTAAGTCAGAACAATGTTAATTCCATAGGTTAAGGGAGGTTACAAGACCCATACAAAACAACAATAATACACACAAAATAATGTAAATACAGTACCTGTAAATACTGTAAGTAAAGCGATGTTAAACGATACAAAGTATAGTAATGAATTTTTTTTAACTTTAATTACAGATTTTTGTGATGAATACAGAACAGACATACGTATTGGGATCCCGTTCGTATCTCTGGGACTGCCTGTATTTTAAGACAATATATACATACATAAAAAATACACAAAAAGGTTCTACAACTTATCTTAATCTGAATTTAATGATATTATTAAATTACCCAAATAAATGTATTAAAAAGAGAAGAGAAACGGTAACATACCTCACAGCGACTTCCCACAGTAATTGTTTCTGCTTTCTCCTTCTCAACTTTCTCAAGAGCTTCCTTCTCCTCCTGGAGTTTCTGTTGTTCCTCTGCATTATACTTGCCCAGCTTGTTCTTCAACAGGAATGATCGTACACTGTCTGATGGGGACGAGAACAAAGAACTGTAATGCCTGGTCACATCTCTACACATTTAATGTATTTATTAATATTTTGGTCACATCTCTACAGTTATATTTAGGTGACATTTCTACACATTCATCAAGTAATATTTAAGTCACATCTTTATAAACATTTTTAGATAATATTTAGTTCACACATCTCCTATATAAACTGAGAATGCTGCACCTCTCTCTGGGAATCTGGTTGAGCTTACTTGACTAAATGGCCATAAGTATGTAAGGTTGCCATCCATTGCTGCTAGTTGGCATAACACTCAGTAATAAACCATCACCCAAGTGTTTGAGAGCTTTGACATACCAATCACTTTATCAAGAGCAAAGGTAAATATATCAAAAAGGAATAAACAAATCTTGCATCAACCACTAACCATTTCGTTTGCTATATTCCTCTTCAGACAGCTCGTATTTTTCAACCTTTGACAAGTCCTCAAATTCCCCCATTTTTTTGGAGTTATCTGTAACCTGAGAAGAGATACAGTAAAGACAATGATAACTATTAACCATATAAAACTACTCATACCAAAGTTAACTGATTTAGACATTTCTTCACTCGATATAAAAGTTAACCAATACTGTAATAGATGCTACACTTCCAGATCCATTACAAGTCACTGATAAAATTATTTCACATACCGAGGCCTTTGGAGATCTTTATACCATCAAAGTTCTTGTACACTCTGGCATAAGAGTCCCAGCAAGTTCTTCCTTTAATAATATCTCCGTCGATTCATTTACTCTTCAAGTCAAGAATCATCAAATTTCACCCCGAGTTTTGTTATTTTCTTACCCCTTACAACGATTCTGTATACGTACATATTATTCACAGTAAAGTCAATCAAGACAATTTAATATTACTACCATGTTAAACTTTCCCTTTACTCATTCAAGCCAACTGGTGGTACAGTATAGTGGAGGGTGACTGGACTCAACAAAAAAAACCCTCCTCTTTCCTATGCTATCATTCATATACACTTACTGCTGGAACACATATATAACATGTGTGTTATTTTATGGTCTTCCTCTTCCACACCAAAGATCAAGATGTTTGGGGCAATGATGCAGGAAAGAAACACCACCATAAACCACACTATGATAGTAAGAATGATTCAGAGATGGTGAATGATGGAAAAATATGTGTTCTGACAGTACCTACAGTTACTACAGCGATGATAAGATTTACACTGGTAATTTACTAAGATCACCTATTAACAAGTGACATGTATTGGATTGAAACATGAAAAGCCATAATAGAAAGACATGGGTGGTTCGGTACTTACATGGATCCGGTAGTTTTCCTCCACGTTGAAGGATCCTAGGAGGGCACTGTCGTCGTTAAGGGCACAAACCAGTTTATCATTTTCGTCAAAAACTTCCAGAGACATCGACCCACATGAGGCTCCCGTTATGAGCTCGAGGCGACCCTAGAAATAATAATGAAGTCAGTCGTCAGATAACTATGTCTCGTGCACTAGATTATGAGGATATATTCTACAGTGTATTCATGTAGCATCCAACTCTTGCATGAACACCTCAGACATATTGACCAATTTTCTCTTCACATCTTTATTCTTATTATTGCATTACTTCAATTTGATTCTGCCAAACCTATAACTGGGTATGCCCATTTATTACAGGATAACTATTATTATCTTTAGAAAATTTTGTTACTTCTTGTCCTTAACCTCCACAACATAGCCTCAAGTATATTATATTTTATTATTACACCGAAAAATTAGAGGTGCTTCATGACATAAGACTAAAATATGCCACATTACTATACTGACAATAAGAGGCAAACACAAAGCTTTAATTATTTTAAGAACTTTACAGCAAGCTTTCCTCTGACAGCAATTTTAAAATAAAATCTTTGACATGCTTAAAAATTTATCAAATCTAACCTAATATAACTCCACCTAAATTAACCTACCCTAACATAACCTAATTTTCCTAAATTGATCTATGTACAGGTAACCAGCTTGCCTCAAAAGTTCTTCCCCTCATTACTCATAAACTATCAAATACACTTAATTAATGGCCTCCTTCATTGGTTTTTCACATACCCATGAACCATTGTAAAATTAATAAAGCATACACCTGTGAACAACATGTGTTTACAGACCTACAACAGACCTCATGAAAATTAGGAACTTCCACTTATTTCACTTGATGACTAAACACTAAAGCTAAACTACCCCCTCCCATCCCCACTTAGGTGTTTAATCATCACATCAAATATACAGTGGCTCCTAATCTTCCTAAGAACCCCTTTTGCAATTCATACATTTAAAAAAATTAACTTACAATCATTATTTCTTTGTGAAAGAGTACTTAGAAATATGATTCATTACAACACACTCAAAAGAAAATCAAGATAATTATGCATAAAAATTTAAATTCCTTTGGCCAAACAATAAATGATCACACCTGAAAGCAGGAATTAACTCACTAAAAGATATAGCTTATTATTTTATTTTATTATTTATTTTTTTGCTAATGGTAGATGATTCTATTCAACACAAAGTGACCGCCTGTACTCAAGGGTTAAAAGACAACAACAGTGTGGGAAAAATAACTCGCCTTAAAGTCACCGATGGTCAGTCCACGGTCAAATCTCTTCTCAGCCATAAAACTATTAAGGCTGCTGGTGATGCGCACGTTGACCAGCGGGGCCGTGATCACTTGGTATTGGTCACCCATGACTGTATGCTTAAGTGTCTGTAAATACACAAGAAAAAATCTTACATGTTTGTATACAGTACCTGTATCGCCTATACTAGGACGATAAATTAGTATGACCATTTTACTGAATAAATATCTATCTACCAGGACATACATGTTTTTATACCTGCACTGTCTTTACATATGGCACTCTTCTGCGTGTTGTACCCGAGTTGCCTATATTTATTGTTACTAAATTATTGTAAATATTCCACCATTCATGCTTGGCGTAAAAAGCACACAGATGTGAAATAATTGCCAAATGATCAGTTTCTTGCCATGTTTTAGCCCGTAATTTTCCTCATTTCATGCCCTGCCCACTACAGGTGATGTATGATCGAAGGTCGAGAAAAAATGTATTACAGTCTCTCCTCGACTAACGACGGGGGTCCTTTCTTTACGAGCAGGTCGTAAGTCAAAAAAGGCGAAAATAAAACTTAGAAATTCTAAAATGGGTCTCTTTTTCTTCTCGGCACCACGAAAACTCTCACTTTTACGCTTGCCAGCCATTTTAAAGGGAATTACAAACGAAAATTTTGCCAGTACACAGCGTGATCAATAACGTCGGGACTCAAAAATATGTAATGTGAAAAATATTTTATACAACCATGGCCGTCGTATGTCCGGGTTGTCTAAGTCGAGGAGAGACCATTGTTCTGGTCATACAGTGAATTTTAGGAATTTAAGTTAGGTTAGGTTGAAATTAAGGCTTTCCATTGGATTTTTTATGTGTTTTGAACGACTTCCAAATAGATGCATGACCGAAATGATAATTTTACCCCCCAAAATTATTAACTTTAAAGGAAAAGGTTGGGTAAAGATGTAGAAAAGGGTTACCACCAGAAGTTGTTTGTTTAATTTCTTTATTTTTGATGTACTTATTGCTTTGATGATTTTAAGTACAGTATATTAAAAGAAACGACAACTTTCTATTATAATTTTAAGTATTTTTTAGGAATTGTTTTATTTACTCTATCCCGCTTCACAATTCTCCTCCCGGCGCCATTTTTGTTGTTTATCTCGCTGAATCCCTCTTCAAGAGACGTTTCCTATAAATGGTGGTGAACGCTATTCGTCCTCGCCATTGGTGATGTATATTAACCTCAATATTAAGGCAAGTTGTTTAACAAGATAATGCATAGAACCTGACCTGACCTAACCTAACCTAACCTGACCTAACGAACCCAACCTAATGGGTTTGTTAGGTTCTATGCATTGTCGTTTCCATTTTTGTGTTTAATATGATATTAGTGTAGAGAAAATGTCAACCAATTCGGACAATTCCTTCTGGTGGTCACCCTCTTCAACACCTTTACCAAAAGTTGTCATGTTTTTATTACTTACTATCATCCAAACACCTCTGGGAAATATTAACCAATTCTAAAAACTATTTCTGGTGATAAAATTTCCTCCATTTTTACCACAAACACTATTAAAACTGACATTGAAAATGGGTATTATTGGTTTAGGTCATCCTGGAAAGCTTAGGAATTTAGGTTAGGTTATATATAATTCCTGGGTTCTGTAGCTAAGTTAGATTAGGTTAGGTATGTAACCAGTATAATTTACAAATTGTATAATTTAGAGTAACTTACAGCCATGGATGTATAATTGTGAACATTCATTATTTAATGACCTGTAGAGGGTAAAGGTTGTTCATAGAATATCCCGATGTTTTGTCTAGCCAGTGTCGCAGTATGATGCAGCTCTCTCTCAGTAGTAGCCATTTCTTTAAACACTGACTATATTGCTCATTTGTAGTAAATGGATACTTTGCTTCACACTTGCAATGCGTCAAGTACGTAAGATAATTAGTTAAGTAATATATAGATAATGGCACCACCAGTTAAGAGTGATTCATGGGTAAAAGGGATCATCTACCAGCCGGTTGTTTATACACATCGTGTAAACACCGCTGAATATAGTTTTGCTTGACATTCCACGGAGATGACTACTTCCTTCTTCAAGAACCTTCTAGAAGCTTGACTCATAAATCACTTTGGTGGCGAGTGCAGGAATTACTCTATGGGCGTGGCAAAACCAAGCCCCTTAGTCTTGAACTGGACCCCTTTGAGTAAAGATCTACACCTGGACCACCTCAGTTCGGCTTGCCTAACATAGAGCCTGCCTCAGTTACAGAGCAAACCCACACTGAGAACACTGCCAGAATAGATCACGGGCCAGTCTAATTAAATGTACAGTATTTGGACTTGTAAATATCACACTGTACATATACACCAGCTTTGACTCTGATTATCCCCCTTTTGTGGAAGAAGTGACCGCTCCGTTAGACCATAACTATCGACAGTCTCCGGCATCTTACCGATATCAACGGGACTCTAAATAACAAATCAATACACCTTTTCACATATCCATTGAGACATTGTTACATAACTATTTGACAAATTTCATAACCGAATGACAGAAGACATATCGAATGACACTCTAAAATAACTGTTCATTCATGCTAACGGAAGTGATTGACATAAGTTATAAAGTTGATAGACATGAACAATATACCGACAGTCTACATATAGTTTGAGAATGTAACAATTGGAGAATGACATACCACCAACAGTTATTTTAGATTGTCATTCAATATGTCTTCTGTCATTCGGTTATGAAATTTGTCAAATAGTTATGTAACAATGTCTCAATGGATATGTGAAAAGGTGTATTTAAGCGACTAATTACCCAAATGAAGCCACAATTAAGTCAAATAATGGTCCTACAAGAATAAATCAGACTACCAATCACTTCTCGACTAGTATTTGCTGTCAGTCACAAAAAATTGGTAAACTTAACTTAATCCGAGTTAATAGATCAAGTCCATGTACCTAACCTAACACAGATTAAATTAAGTTAACCAATTTTTTTGTGACTGACACCAAAAAAATATTAAATACAAATCAAAGGAATATTATCATATACAACAAACCTTAACACACTATAACAAATTCAGATGAGATATAAGTTAGTTAATTAAGTGTTGTTCTCGTTGATAATAGAGAGAGAGGACTATACCTGGCAGGGGTGGAGAGTGAAGGGTGTAGTTAGTGATCAATGGAGCTGACTGACAACACCTAGAGTGACTCACTGGACCCTGACCCTCCCACCTTTACAAACATATATATAAACTACACCTAAAATATCCGTAATTTAAATCTATAATATAATTTTATATAATACATTAATATTATATAATGGTTAATTTATATAATTGTTGATTTTATTGTGTGTTTATAGAGTAATAGTTAGGAGAAGTGAGTAGTAATTTTATAAAAATGTATAGCCTAGTGATGAATGTTTTAAGAATTCCTGGTAACATTCCAGAAGGACAGAGAGAGAACAGTCTGGAACACTCTGGACCACACCTGAATCATCAATACATCGCCACTTGTTTTAAATCCTGGAATTGCCCTTTTGAAGACCTCTCTAAGGCTGTACTTGATTGAATCCACTTACTGGTTGCCACAATTTACTTGCATTGTATTTGTATATGATGAATCAATGTGAAATGAATAAATATCTTTCTTAGTTTTCTATTTGTCAGTTGGATGTGTGAGAAAATATCTATACTATCTCTAGGACTAGGTATTCCACATTTGGTCGTCGTATACACAAAGTATCAAAGGGCGGATCCAGCAGGTTTCAAGGGGGTGTTGTCCTTAAAAGGAATGAGAGGGTGTAGACCTACTGCTATAGGTCACACACACTCCTTAACACCAAATAAAGGGCGTAAGTTTGTTTTTTTTAGTTTAACAATTTATTGACAAAGTTTGGAGTACAGTTCGCCTATTCTGAGTAATTCAATCAGGTCTTGACACTGAGGGTGGTATCACTTCTCACTGCCATGCAGGACAGAGGTTCGTACACAAAGAAATGCATCATATTCATTAGCAGCATATATAGGTCAGAGTCATGTGGGTGATGTCACTGTTCTCTGCCATACAAGACCAGGGCCGGATTCAGGAGTGGGCAAAGTGGGCAGCTGCCCAGGGGCCTCCACAATCTGGGGGCCTCCACATATCAGGGCTGGTCGACTTGAAACCACATGAATGACTCCAGTCATGTCTCACTTTTGTGTGTGTGTTGGGAATTTGTACACTATCAATAAATATACGGTTAAAAAAAATGTTCTCAATGTTCTAATGTCCTCAATATAACTGCATATGGCTTCAAAATTCTCCAAAGTGTTCAAATTTCAAAATTTTCCCGGGGGCTTACAGCGCCCCCCGGAACTCCCAGATGTTTAGGCTGGCTTCACTCGCCACCCCACCCTCTGGGTAGTTATAATGAGGGGGACCTCCACAAAGAGGCTGCCCATGGGCCTCCACAGGTCTAAATCCGGCACTGTACAAGACAGTGGTTCATATACATTGGACGTCATATTCTAATTGAAGACTAATCAGTGTGGGCTAGCAAATTTGGGATAAACAGCAAGAATGTCCTCAAGCATCCCCGATTCAATATAGTAATTACAAGTTCATGATGCAATAAGCCAGGTGGCCTGAAGTCTTTGACAGTGTTACATTCAATAATAGAGTGTTCAAGTGTATGCTTTAAAGGTTTATCACAAATTTTACACGCTGAGTGTTCCGGTATGGGTACAGCGTTACTAACTTGCCAGATGTGTCTGTATCCTAGCCTAAATCTGGCCACGACTACATCACATTGTCTGGTTCTGTCCTTATGCTGGCCATACCGGTACCTCTCGTCACAATTTTTTTTCATATTTACTAACGCTACAACTGCCAGGTCTCTCTGCATTTCTCAGTTCTTCTAGATCAGAGTTCATGATTCTGACTTGAATTTTTTAAGTACAGCATTGGACAGGCCAAGGTCACGGTCAACATTTTCTTTCTTACATGCCTCATTGGCCAGTCTATCAGCACGGTCATGATACCTAATTCCAACCTGGGACGGAATCCACACAAATTCGATACGAGAGTTGTTCTCATTGGTAGTTATCACATTCCTTTTAATATCACATACAACTTTAGACATAGAGCCTGACGGGCTGTTCATTGATTTCAAAGCACTTTGAGAGTCACAGAATATCACCCCACCTCCATTTTCTTTAAGGTAGTATGTAGCTAAGTAGATTCCAGTTAGTTCAGTTTGTGTTGTGCTGGCCCAGTTGTTCAGCCTTTGTTTGTTTGACACTATCATCTCTTTTTCTTTATATATTACAATTGCACAGCCTGTTCTACCTGTGTTTGTCTGCACAGAACCATCAGTAAAAGCATAACATTCACTTGATTTAGTACTCTCTATGTGTCTGTTAATAGTTTCTAGTGTGACACATCTCATCACATCGGTGTTTAACATTTGCTTCCTACCAACAGGAGTGTAATTAATAGGAACTGATATGTCCAGCCAAGGAGGAATGGCATTAATAGGTTCGTCTGGGGTGATTGGGACATTGTTTCAAGAGATCTGCAACACTTTTATGAAGCCACGCCCCAAAGAGAGTCTTTTGTGGAAGGTTAGCGAGATGGTCGGGATTACTTAGATAGAACATCAACTCAGTTTGAGCTGTAGTTTGGGGACCATTGTTCTTCAAATCTTTGACACAAAACATGGTATTAAGTAGCTGTCTTAACAGAATCTCTTCTGCCTGATTCACCTTATTGGTCCAAATATTATATCTTATGGTCGCTGTTTCCTCACTCCCTCCCTTTATGTCTACGTTACTGATAAGATTTTCTCCGTGAACAAAGTTCAATTCTACTACTAAGCAAACACCTAATATACTATAGGGCTAGCTGTCTGTTCTGGGCAGCCGAAACGGCACAATCGTTTTTCATCAAACTTGGTGGAAAAATCGCAAAAAATTCGTAGAGTGGAACAAACCTGGTCCCATGTCGATGGTTTCTTTAGGAAGGCATTAATTAACAATTTTATTTACGATAGAAAGCGATGCAAGTCTACGGACTTGGCGCACTCTAATTAACCATGCAAGTCTACGAACTTGGAGCGCCCTCATTCACTGTATGCTGTCACGAGCGTTCAAACTTTCACAAGGGCACGAAGGGTCCGCGATCACTTGTTACTGTCTATACGCCCTAATTATTTCACCCCCAATAAATTATCCAGACATAATTCGATATTGGGTTTCTTTTCTGTTACTTATGACAAGTTCACATAAAAGAAAGACGGTTTCCACGTACGACGCTTGTGGCACATTTTACACATAACCAAGATATCGGGAGTTGAAAATCAGCCTACTAAAAATATTCTAAGCGGTCATAGATGAAAATATTGTTTTGTCTGAACTTATCATTACAAAAAACAATAACGAATTATTGTTTTTTTTATTGTTTTTCATTATACGTTCAGGCAAAAACAAGATGATTTTTCATTTGTGACGCTTTTTGCGCTTTACTCATAACCGAGAGATCGGGAGTCCTGTTGGTCCTGTAACGCATCATGAACTTTGTAATTACTACATTGAATCAGGGGTGCTTGAGGACATTCTTGCTGTTTATTTCAAATTTGCTAACCCACACTGATTAGTCTTCAATTAGAATATGACGTCCAACGTATATGAACCACTGTCTTGCATGGCAGTGAACAGTGACATCACCCACATGACTCTGACCTATATATACTGCTAATGAATATGATGTATTTCTTTGTGTACGAACCTCTGTCCTGCGTGGCAGTGAGAAGTGATACCACCCTCAGTGTCAAGACCTGACTGAATTATTCAGAATAGGCAAACTGTACTCCAAGCTTTGTCAATAAATTTGTTAAACTAGAACTAAACCTATAACGTGGCAAACGAGGGAGTGGTGTGTTCAGTGGGCAGCGAGAGAAGGGCAAATAACATCTTCAGTAAGCGATATGTGCCTCCTCTTCTGTATGATAATGACAAACACAGTTCCTTTATTTTTCTCCGGACGACCTGGGACCAACAAGTCACTCCAGCAATAGTTACTATTACAGTCCTTTGATATTTTTAACAGGTTTATTTGTGGACGGCACATAACAGCGACATAAATTAAAATTGTACTTTTTATGAATTAGTTATGGTGTCATTAACACAGGGACGGCGAGTTGTACGGGGCCGAGCAAAGACTATATACTCGTCTTTGGGGGCGAGTTTGCATTGGGACGATTTCACCTGAAAGCCTAAGGGCCTAGACCATAGTGAGCAGGTAAATCAAGCAAATAAGAGAGTAGATTTTATAAGAAACACGTTCACATATCCGGGCGGTCTTCAAAAGAAAGGAGCCTCTCCGTTTGGAGTACAGTACTGTATAGTACTGCTCTCCCATCTGGTAGAGAATGTTGATTAGTTGATTGAAAACATCCAGAGGGCCACCAGCTGGTGCCTGTAATCCGGCACCTCAGGTACCGCGAGAGAAGAATGCCTGCAGTTGTCTACCGTTTGCTATAGACTGGTAAGGGATGGCTTAATATAAGTTTATAAGCACCTTAGAGGACATTACACAGTCGTGTGTTCATATCCCACTCGAGGTCACAGCCTCAGGTTGAAGAACTTACAAGTTCAGAAAATTGTCACGGCAAACTTAAAGGAGTAAGTTGCTAACTCTTGGAATTACCTGCCATCGTTGTGACTGCACCGAGTGTGAGCTCATTAAAGACCACTTGGCCAACGCTGGAGCAGGTCATATCCATTCTGTTCTGGGGCCAGAGCATGCCCACTTCTTACACAAGTGCCAAACAGACATTACCGACCCCTCGAATCGAATAAAGGCTAGTGACAGGGGGAAGGAAGTTCAGTGGAAGTTTAAAGGGAGGATGGAAGGGAATTTTAGCGAGAGAAAAAGGTGTCGTGGTTTAACACAGCTTGCGTGTGGGCGATGAGGCAGTGTCGTGATTGGTGGAGGGAGCTACACCACAGTTGTACCTCTTCACCACTGAGCGGTAAAGTCGCTCTGAGGGGGTCGACCCCCTCAGAGCGACTTTACCGCTCAGTGGTGAAGAGGATATAAAGGGTAAAGGTGGAGCAGACGGCTAACACCAGGTGGGTGCTCTTTGGATAATCGTAAGTAATGAAAACAATACGATAATTCACAAAACCTTTTATTTTAAGATTTGTAGGAATATTACCAACACGGACATTAAGCTAAAATGCTTCTGATCCGCCCACACAGAACTTAATAGTGACCTAACCAAAGAAACCTACCTAACTCCCTAGACCCCCACCCCCCCCACACACATACTAAACAGAAAGAACTTACGGTACTCTGATCTAATATCACCTAAAGCAACTTTCTTGAAGCAGTATGGTGTAATTTAACGTTTTCTGTGGACGTGAGAGTTGAATAGTTTTTTCTTACTATCATCCAATGAACATATGTGGAAAATTAACGTAATTAAACGACTCCTGATGTTAGCCGTCTGCTCCACTATTACCAATTATTATAAATAACCTATTATATACAGTAGCTACTTGCATGAAAAGGAAAAGTAATCAGAGATGTGACCGATCGCCCAAGCTGCTAACAAGGTGATCAGTGGCCAAGAGGATAAAACCTAAAAACCATAATTACGTTTATGGACAGCATTGTTTTAATATTTGTTATAAATTTTTTTATAGGTATCTCTATGTACTATAACTTCTACATGTTATATAGTTATTAGTGAAGTCAGTATTATAATTGCAGTTACTTTATAGGGATTATAACGGTCGCAGGATTATATTCCCTAATTATATGCAGTTAAGCGAACTTCTCTAACATGAATAAAGTGACGTCAGCACTGTTCGATTGCTTTAGTAAAATTTTAACTTTTTCTTTTGCAAATCTAGGTGAACACATTTAAATTTTTTTTATTCTTGATAAAGAAATTAATGCGGATAAGAAATTTTTTTATTAGGCAGATAATAAATATCGTAATAATGTGTGACAAATTATTCCCACTATAAACTGGGAGATTTTGCTATTAACAAACAGCTTCTATACTTACCATCTTGCTTTGATATAATAATCAATGCATTAGTACTACATATTTAGTATTTTATTTGAGGCGAATTACTCCAAATATTATTTTTAGTAAGTTAAGTCAGTGGTTAAGGGATCAGAACGCGTGGTAGCAGACGACAGCAGGGGGTGACAGACTCCGGATACTCGACAACAACTCAATGTGTGGGTGACCCTCCAGACGCTGTGGTACTGACTCTCACCTCTACTCTAACTATCAGGTCAGGAAACACCACTTAATAGATAATTAACGTTAATATTGACACTAAGGAGGTTTATTCTACGTAAAAATATTTGTGTGTATATATGTGTGTGTGTTTCGTGTGGGGAGATAATTACCTGTTGTCTTGTAACTTACTATCAGTTGGTAAGTCATAAAGTGAGACTATTGTTATGCCTTCAACAGTAGATGTGATACTGAGTCCAAACAACCCAAGAAAGACCTTAAAAGATTATTTCCACTGCCTTATGGAATTACTGTACTGTAAACATATTTCAGAATAATGATAAATATTGACATTGTTACACCTGAAGTTTTCATCCTACCATAGTAAATAAATTATAAAAAAATTGGTTAACTATTTACCTGAGTTCTGTGGCTAGATTAGGTTAATTTGGTTAGGTTAGGTTACATTAGGTTAGGTTAGGGATGACTGAAACTAAAATTTTACCACATTATCAGTCACTAGTATTCCTGAGCAGAGCTGTCTAACTCCTAATGACTGTATGTTTAAATTTTTATCTAGATCACTTGAAGAATCTCCACCCCAGCTTATTTCACCTAAAGATTAACCGCCTTAACACTGTATCAGGGAAGTAATGAACTGTTAAGTGTGAAAACTGTACAAGGGAGCTGCAGTATGTATTATCACTGTATTTATGAGAATTAAAATACTAAATTAATATCTTCATTGTACTGTACTTGTTTCTCTCCAATCAACATAAGTTTTGTTTATTTTTATGTTTATAACTAAATACTGCAGTGTTGATTGATTGTACAGTTTAAACATATGTAAATATTATGAGGTGTTAACAAATCAAGTTTCAATAATCTGGACCATGTTATTATTATTACAGTAGTGTAGCTTTTTTCATGTAAGGAATTTTGTGGTTTGTTTGGGGTTTTGGACCTAACCACAACAAAGTGTCTTCTAGGTTTATATATTCATAGATTTTCAAAATAACATAATATTGTGACATTAAGAGGAGCACAAATATATCTAAATAAAGTGCAGTTTTGCATATATATTTATTATCAATTGCATAACATGAAAAAAATTGATTTGGAAATTGCACCAGACTGGTGCCTGCACTTTGGCACTTCAGCTACTTTGAGAGATTAAAGCGCTTGAAATTGCCTAACTTATACTACAGACGGGCAAGGGGGGACCTAATTGAGATGTAGAAACATCTTAAAGGGCACTACTAAGTCGATTGTCCTTACCTAGAGCTGGGTGATGCTCACCCCACAAGGGGACACAGCTCAAGGTTGAAAAAGCCACAAAGTCCAGAAAACTGCGAGGGGTAACTTTTTTGAAGAGAGAGTTGTGAACTCTTGGAACAATCTGCCAGAAAGTGTTGTGACGGCACCGAGTGTGAGCTCTTTCAAGACAAGACTTGGCCAACACGGGAGCAGGTTCAGGTACATTCAGGAGCCGGTGCATGCCCAGTACTTGCCAACAGTGCGTAACAGAGACGTGACCGATCGCCCAAGCATCTAACGAGTCGATCAGTGGTGAAGAGGATAAAAGTAAAAGTAAGAATCATGTGTTAAATCTACATGCGGGTGAGACTGAAGAAATATGAATTTAAAACGTCAACTTATAAACTTTTATCTTGCTAATCCAGAATATGCATGCTAATCACGGCCTATAATATGAGATTCGTTAGTTGACTGGTTGGTTCATGTTTACAGCAATTTACCATAAGACATATACATAAAATGCAATTTTTTGTCCATTGTTAGTGGCACATACATTATCTGTGCCTGTCATAACTTTGACTGCCTGACTGTAAGGTTATCCTGAAAATCTTAATATATGTACATTAACAGCCTAAGGTTCACCTATTTTTTACAGTACAGGACTTGATTGTGTCAGGCATGCATGATAGTCATCTTAATTTAATTTTTTTGCTGTCATGAGTGTCACTAACTGATATCTTGTGACTCCTTAGAAAAAATACTCTGCAAACTTAGTAGTGTAGTGACTGTGCAGTGGGCAGAGTAACAGGTGTTGTAAATTAAGATTCTTGTCATATTAGTACTTCAGATTTTGTTCTTTGTTTTTCTGTAACTCTTACCCCTAGAATTTATCAGATATTGCCTGTATGGGGTTCATCTCCCAGACTACAATAACGTACAGTACTCAGTCCTCCACTAACTTGCTTTTTTAAATCAAATACTACACCTTAAAGGACAGAAGCCTATTGAAATACTATATATTGTCTTTTATCGTTGGTAAGATATCCAAAGTTTGAGTTCACGTTGCTGTCAGTCTATCCGGGTAAGTTGTGTTTCTTGCCGTGGGTCCAACAGGCTGTTTGATTGGAAGTACGTACAGTAGACCCTTGTCATTCGCGATTTTTACGATTCACGGTAAACAGATGGTGACTATAGTGGCTAGCTTGCAAGCCTTTTCCCACAGCACAGTATCTCGTGTTGTACCCTCAAAATTTTAGTGTTTATGTGTGAAATGGCCCCTGAAAGACTGCCTAGTGTCAGTGTTTGTGATGCTAGTGGAGTGAAATGTAAAAGGCAGAAGTCAGTGATGACCCTAACAAAGAAAGTTTTATTATTAGATAAGTTAAAAGAGGGGATGAGTGGTGCCATGGCTGGTCGGTTGTTTGGTACAGGTATACAGTAGTGCACTAAGGTAGTAGAAGTTGCTATTCGCGTTTTTGCCAATTAGCGCCATTTCTTTGAACCTATCCCTCGCGAATGGCAAGGGTCTACTGTTTGTATGGTAGGCATTCAGAGCCATGAGTGCTGGGTCGACCACGAACACGAGTAACTTAGGCAATTTAATCAAGTTACGTTTTGAGAGTTCCAAATAGATTATCCTAACTTAATCCAAATAAATTATCCTGACCTAACCCAAATTATCCTGACCTAACTCAAATTATCCTGACCTAACTCAAATTATCCTAGCCTAACTCAAATAAATTAACCTAATCCAAATATATTCACATAATCCACATAACCTACCATAAGAAACTTATATAAATAACCCAGACATCTCGTCTTAACCCATATGGCAGAGTATTGATCACCCACTTGAAGAATCTCCACCCTAGTTTATTTCACCTCAAGTTTAACACTATTGGGGGAGGGGGGGAAGGAGAGGTTAGGTTAGGCTAGTGTTATGGTGGTTTAATTTTTAGGTGAAATAAGCTGGGGTGGATACTCTTCAGGTGATCTCAGTACTGTACTATCATAGACTTACTTGCAGATGGTAAAAAAAAAAAATATGTTGAACTAACAATGTGTTAAGAGAGAGAGGCGATTCCCTTTGTCACTGGGGAAGTTATTGATTTCAGAAGTTATTGTCGTTTGGTGAACATTTATTGTAGGAATGGCATCAGCGATTGTATAGATATTTTTCTTATTTCTAGTCAAATTATTATGAGGAAGAGTTATTGATTGCTTAGAATAAAAATAAATAAATACTCAGGTACTTTTTATTGATTTTTAGTTATTTGCGTGACTGCTGCTGTGATGTTTATGGTACTGTACTGTACCTAGTGTATTGTAGATTTTAGCATATATCACTGTGCAGCACATGACTGTACCATATAGTACTGTACAGGTATGGTTAATGTGATGTGTAGTATTGACTATATATTTCCTGAGTTAATGTTGTGTTGCTTGTTTTACTTTTTCCTGTAACACTTGTATGAAAAACTGAATTAAAGTTTTAACAGTGAGAGGGAAAACCTGTGAGTAGTGAGCAGAAGGGAGAGTGATGTGATGTACTGTGTACTGTACCAAGTGTAATACACATGTATACTGTATGTAGAACAGTCTCTCTCTCTCTCTCTCTCTCTCTCTCTCTCTCCATTTTTGTATCATTCAGAAAAAACCTGGTTCAGATATTCAAGGTCCCTCTACTAATTATACATTATGTGATATACCTGTACTGTATATTTATCCCACTACCTTACCTTTCTTAAAAATATGCAGTCAGTGGCAGTGTTTATGATACTGTAGTATGAATTAATTAAAAGTTTAATGCCCTCTGTGAATGTTTGGTGTTTGGTGATTTACATTGTAAGAGATTTAAAAATGTGGCATTAGGCAACTGCAGCAGGTAACAGGTGTGTCAGTGTGTAAACTGTATAACTGTATGAACAGGTGTCGTTGGTGCCACAAGCTCTCATATGATCAATTTGCTGTATCTGGGTAAAGTATATGTTGAGGATAAGTCATTAGTTCTGTGTGTCATACTTGCTTTGATGTTTTTTTAATGAAATATCCTCACACAACTACTACCACCCCTGTAGGTACATCTGTATAATGTGTGTGTGTGTCTGGTAGTGTAGGGTGTGAAGTAGTGATCAGGAAGGCATACCTCACTCAGTCCGTGGTGACGTCACGGCGCTCATCACATGTTCACTGGGTTAATTGTTTGCTTACACTACTGACCTTGTGGCTCAGTGGTGACGGTACAGTGATCTCCCTCCTAGGGGTACTGTACCATATGTCTGTAGAGCCAAGAGATATTGTGTTGGTAATATTTGTGATAGAGCAGAGCGCACCCGCCTGAGGGAACCTTCCTGATGACTTACAAGTGTGAGCTTCCATATTAAAGAAAGTTACTCCTGTAATACTCTACTCTGTTACACTTCATGTGCACTGTAAGCAGAGATTGAAGGAGCAGTATTCTACTGTATATACTGTACTTTTTTGTTAATTTTCAATTTCTGTACCACAAGTTATTTTGGTTTAAGATACATGTTTCTTCATCACTGTAAAATACTGTACAAATTACTCAGAGGAACTTTTATTTATTGCTGTACAGTATTAAATTTTTGTATGATCTCCATAGCAGACACCAGAAAAGATGAATAAAATCAATTACTGGATCCTCAGATACCTGGGCATGGCATCAGTGTGGTAAAAGTAAGTAAAAAGTTAATTAACTATTATTTGGCACAAAAAATGAAACACAAGGAACATGAATAGTCCACAGTTGACTGCCGCCATCCCTACAGCTATAGTAGCTGCCATTTGTGGGTTAAGAATGCTCGTTTAAATTCATTCCTGATAAAGAACTCTCCATAAATGAAACCGTATGCTTGAAAGTACACATTGACCATGCTTCTCGATATTTTTCAATTAAGGTTTCCATAGAATGTGTGAGTGATTCATAGGGTGGGCAGAGCAGTACAGTGCCTACTTCATTTAAGTGATTCTCCACACACTAGGTCTGGAGATAAGGAACTGATAGCAGTGATTCCTCTTCATTGTTAGATAATCCACAAAAGAACTCGACTCTGGGTTTTTTGAGAATAGAACAAACTTGTCCAAATATGTAGCAGGGCAGTCAGTCAAGACCAATTTTCTGTGGTGTGGATAGTGAACTTTATACCTATACTATAGACTTTTATTGTAGTGGACAGTGTGGAAAGAGGCATTGGTAGAGGAGGTATTGTCAAGAGTGTGATGTTTTAATAAAGAAGATGGTTTGCACTGTTGGTGTGAACATTGGTTATGCCACAGACTAGGTTGTACGGATTATCAGTGCATAGCAGCTCGGTTGTGCCCGGACTAGGGTCGGGCAAGTTAATCTGTCCGGCACTTACCCGGCGGAAAAGCTAAAGTTTTGAGAGGTAAATACAGTACCTAGGGAATTTGTCAGATGCTGCATGACCCCACCTTCCTGTATATTTTTAACCAGGGAGGTCTGTCAGTGGACCACTTATCATCAGTATACAGTACAGTACTACCAGGATTACCGTAGTTACCTATATTAGGTGCAGGTACTGGTAATTTATCTCTGCATTAAGCTGCCAGCCTGCCTTTTATCAGTCAGTGTCTAGTTATAAACATTTTAAAGGAACTACTAAGGTGAGAGGCTGTAGACTGTTTATGTTACACTTAATGTGCACAGTAAGAAAAGAGGAGTTGACTAAGAGAGGATGTGAGAGTGAGATAAGTTATAGTAATGTACGTACAGTATTTGAAGGTGCTGAATATATTTAGTAAGCTTTCAGTGTCCATATTTATTAATATTTAATAAATTTGCCATTTTTTTGCCAAGTCTTTATTTTTTATAACTTGGTTCATGTATGGGTTAGAACACTTTATATTACATGTAGTTGTTTTTGTTTACAGTAGAATCGTGTTTATGTTTATTAAATCTTCCTCTCTGTAATATTTTAAGAAGGGTCGTCTACAGAGGTTATTCTCATCACCTGTAGAGTAGTGTGCATTTGTCTTTGTTACTGCATCAGTTAGTGTGTGTGAGAGAGAAGCTTCTTATGATGTAAGTTGTACAGTATTTTTGGTTTATCATGTCACTATAATGTTTTCTTCAATATGGAATTTCATTTTCAGATATGGCGACAGATGAACAGACACTGGACATGGTGCAGATAACAAGTAAAGCTGTGGATGGCATAGGAGATGGAAATTTCTGTGACTTTGACAGGACAGACCCTCACTTGTTTGCAAACTTTGATAAAATAGATAACAGACATGTGGAAGATGGTCACACTAAGTTAGATCAGTGTGAGCTAATTAAGGGAATAGAATTTGGAGGCATGTTAAAGGGAGTGTGTGTTGATGGCACTGAGTTGGCAGCAAATGATATAGAAAAATGTTTTGGAGATTATGAAAAAAGTGTGAAGAGCAGCTACAAACTCAGTGTACTTGAAGACACACAGGAGTACAGTGAAATTAAGATAGAACAAATTAACTGCTATCAGGAATTTAAAGAAAATGGTAATGTGGAATTTGACAGCTACACGACGGATGTGGCCAAAGTCTGTAGTGATATCGACACAGAGTCTACCAAAAACTGCTGTGTGGGAGACAGTGCGGTGTGTGATGACGAGTTGGACTCAGACGGTCGACCAACAGGTGAACGATGGCCGCCACTCGGTGCTCCTAATGATGACGAAGATAACCAGTCCCTCTACTCTTACACAGAGCTTAGTTGGTGAGTTCTTCCATATTTAGGTGTGATATTTTCCTTATCTCTTATCTAGTTTAATAGTCTATATCTTATCTAATTTCCTTTGGTAGTGAGAAATGACCTCAGAGATAAGAACCTGATGAAAAAGGCTACAAGAGATGTGGTGAGGTTGATGTTCCTACTGACAAGGGAATTTCAGTTGTGGTCACCTCTGGACATTTCATCCGTGATCACTGGATGTCTTGGCCATATGGAATTTTATTCAATTTTTTTTTTAATTATCAGTTTTGTATACAGTACGGTACAGCTGATAGTCAGAGGGGAAAGGGTAGAGCAAGTCAGTTCCTTTAATGCTAAGTTGCCTTTTTGTACTTTACATGGGATTTTTTTACACAAGGTTCAGTAAATAGATGTATGCTGCCCCTGTTTAGACTGATTAAGGTGTACTGTATTTTCTGGTTTTTAAAATGTTCGGTTCTCTCAGTGTTGATGTTCTGATGTTAAAAAATCAGGAAGATATAAGTGTGATGTGTAGCTACTGTACTGTATTGGGCATTGTTTCCCCCCACAGGCAGAGAGGACACTATGGGAGACAGTATAGTAGTGGGGGGGAGGAGGAGCGCCTGCAGCAGTTGGAAGAAGAACAAGAGCAGCTCAATAATTCTCTCATGGCTCTTACTTCACATTTTGCACAGGTGTGACCATAATCGCTTTCATGCAGTGTGATGCAGTAAGCAAGCTTTTTTTTCCTCAGCCCTGTATAGTGAATTAATGTTATGGTTTAAGTAAATATAGAGGCTCTCCACCATTTAGGAGACCATAGATATAAATTTTAGTCAGGTAGTCTGTTTTTGATGGCTTCCAAAGTATAGTAGTTTGTTAATAGTTTGAAATCTTAACATAAGTAGTAACAGAGACATTACCAGTATCTGCAGAAACCTTAGTTGGTTGTTAGCCAGGATCTTTACACACATGGATAAAATTAGTTAAATAAATGTGGATGAATAGGTCACCCACCAGGTACAGTTAACACTACCTACTGACTGTGTGCAACAAATACCAACACTTTAAAGAAGCTGAAGGTTTATAAGAGTTTAAATTATTCTAGTGTAATTAGTTTGTTTCTGGATGGTCACAAGATGCTTCCATCCTTCTTTGTCTCTACACACAGGTCATGTGATATTTAGGTTAGTGTAAAGCTTGGTGAAGTTTTTAATGAGGGTTTTCATGAAAGTATAATATGAATACAGTAATATAAGTTTAGGCTTTAATTGATAGTAGATGAGCATAATTAGTAAAATTATTTAATATCACTCTTAAATAGTATTAGAATATATATAGTTTGTTGTGTTCTTCAGGATGGATGTTCATTAAATAATTGGACTTCCACAGGTTCAGTTCCGGCTGAAACAAATTGTAGACGCATCACCTGAGGAGAAAGAGATTTTACTGAGACAGCTGGAGGAGTTTGCTAACAGAGGTATCCCTGATGTGCGGGACGTGGCCGTAGGAAGGAAGTCTACAGTCAGTGAACATGTGAGTTGGTATTGGCGTGTTTTATATAGCCACCTGTACAGTGATAAGTTAGAAGAAGGAAGGAATGGATGTGCAATGTCTTTATGCTGATGTCATAAAAGCATTCATATGGTCTTGGAACACTGCACCAGGTCCTTGTAAACATCAACCCAAACACTCCATAGAGATTTTGTAAAGATAAGAAAGATAGGAAACCCTGTTCAGAGCTTAGAGGGCAGCTTGGTATTGAGGGTATTGGTGAAGTTTTTCATAGAGGTGGGTAGGATGAGATGTTTCGGGCATGTGGAGAGAATGGAGGCGACTAATAGAACAAAGACATGCATGGGTATGAATGTGGAGGGGAGGAGAGCTATGGGGAGACCAAGAATAACCTGGAGAAAGGTTGTGAGACATGACCTCAGAGATAAGAACCTAATGAGAGAGACGGCAAGAGACCACACAGCATAGAGAACTGCCCTGATGAGAGAGACGGCAAGAGACCACACAGCATAGAGAACTGCCCTGATGAGAGAGGCGGCAAGAGACCACACAGCATAGAGAACTGCCCTGATGAGAGAGACGGCAAGAGACCACACAGCATAGAGAACTGCCATGATGAGAGAGACGGCAAGAGACCACACTGCATAGAGAACTGCCCTAATGAGAGAGACGGCAAGAGACCACACAGCATAGAGAACTGCCATCACTTAATAACACAAGAGTGAAAAGGACAGAAAACGCTGATAGTAGTGATGATGATTGATGCATTTACTAAGTTCCACTGAAATATGACTGGAGACTTTAGACATAAGACAAGGGTTAACTAAATTAGCGGAAAGATAATGTATAGATTAATTATTGTAGCTTGTATTTAATTAGTATATTCAGTAATTTTGTTGAGTTTTTTGAGCGTTTGATCTGTTTGCTGCCTGTAGCTAGTGAATATCTTGTAAAAAAAAAAGAAAGTTGTGTTGATGATTTGTAAGTTCAAGAAGGGTAAAAAAAAAAGACCAATTCTGTACAGTTCAAAATTTATTATAGAACGTAGGACCATTACTTATTTGTTGATGGAGCACAGGGACATTGAACATAAATGCTAAAGCTTAAAAAATGGTCCTTTACTTATGAACATTCAACTTTGAACTTTGAGAGATACGAAAAAACAAGTCCATATGTCCAATTGACTCTTTGAGCCATGTGTTATAAGTACAGATGCTATTTATACATTAAAATATTGTTAAAGGCTTGTAGAATGTGCTGTTTATTATAGGGGTACAGTATAGCTGCACTGTACATCTTTTAATTTTTCATTCTTCGCATGTTAGGTATCTACTAGAGTAATGTTGGACATACAAACGTACCTCAGGAACCTAACTTGCTCGTAAGTAGAGGAGCATCTGTATACAGGGTGTTCCGTAAATACCTTTCATATATCTGGGGGTGTATTCCTGAGATAAATGACTGAATGACCAAATTGTCAATTCTCAATAGTTTCAGAGTTACAGCACATGACAGGTTTGGTAGTAATGTGATAAAACCTACAGTATATGGGGTGTAAATGAAACATCCACTGCTGTTAGTGTCGCTAATTAACAATAGTAATGCCATATGATTTGTACTGGCATTAACATTCAGAGTTAATGTTCAAAGTTCTGCCCCTTTTGGTCAATGCAGGCTTCAGTCCGTCGCACAAATGAGTGTCGCACACGTTCAAAGACCCCAGTGGTGTTACGAATGTTTGTCACACTTTCCTGCACACAGCGCCACAATTCTTTGCGGTTTGGGACCTCTGTAACATACACCTTACTTTTTATGTGATCCCCACAGGTAGAAATCAAAGAGATTTATTTCTGGTGACCGTAGTTGTCATCATATTACTGTACTCCCAAACCGGTCATTGACAATTTGGTAATTTAGTCATCTTTATTTATGTCTCAGGAACACACCCCCTGATTTATGAAAGGCATTTATGGAACTCCCTGTATATTAAACCAGTGAACCAGTGGCATTCTTTTTGACGACCGTTTATTGTACATAAGAGAAACGTGAATGTCTTGTGTACACAGAGTGAGGGAGGAGTCGACACCTTCGGCATTACTCGGCAGAAGGAATTGATAGAACAGCTGAAGCAACAGTTAGAAGACCTAGAGAACTATGTGTACCAGACGGGAGAAGGAGGACCCCCACAAGCCAAGGTTATGGAGAAACAGCGCATCATCATAGGTGAGAAATAATGTAATGCATAAATTGAAACTCGTGCTTTTTACACCGTTAGACATATCATCGTCCTTCTGTATTCAAAGGATCTGATGCCCAGTATTACTTCTGTTGTGTTTCCCTCTGTTATCAACCCTTTAAGGACGATGGTTTAACCTTTTAGATAACGATGGTTTAACCTTTATGATGACGATGGTTTAACCCTTTGACGACAGAAGTTTAACCCTTTGACGACAGAAGTTTAACCCTTTGACGACAGAAGTTTAACCCTTTGACGACAGAAGTTTAACCCTTTGACGACAGAAGTTTAACCCTTTGAAGTTTAACCCTTTGACGACAGAAGTTTAACCCTTTGACGACAGAAGTTTAACCCTTTGACGACAGAAGTTTAACCCTTTGACGACAGAAGTTTAACCCTTTGACGACAGAAGTTTAACCCTTTGACGACAGAAGTTTAACCCTTTGACGACAGAAGTTTAACCCTTTGAGGATGATGACAACCCTCTTAATTAGGCGTCCATTTTCTTCGGTGAAAATAATATTCGTGGATTTTGTGCAGACTTTCCGTGGAATTACATTGATTCACAAAGGATAAGGTCATTATTTTTGACTCGTATCTCTGGCTGACTTTCTCATATATTTATCATTTATCCTTTACCCGTACTGTACTTGTGTTATTCATACTGATTTACACATTCATAAGTTGTATGTGCTCCTATACTAGTTTAGTTGTCTGTTTTTCAGAATAGTTTACAGTGTATTGCTCTTTTAATATTAGACTCCCACTGATAATTTAACTTTTTTTTCCAGAACAATTAAAAGGGAAACTTAATTTCAATGTTGATGAGTTTGATAAGTTGACCGTGGATGATCTTCGGGTCAAAGTGGACCATGCCATCAGAGAGGTCAGTGTTGTACAGTACAGGTGTGGATACAAATATTTGGTCATAACAATGTCTGTTTGAGAATATTTTTAACCCCAGTGAAGTTCAGTATTTGCTTATACTACAGAGTATTGTAGCTGCTTTGCTGTTGGTGTAGAACTAAAAATATGTATGTGTATTGTATTAATATTTTGTTGCTTGTATACTATGTTGATAAATGGGAAATATTTTAGTTATTCAGTAATGTATCAGAGAATTGCATGTGCTTATAAGGGATTAAACAAGGTTAACTAATACTAGTCTTAATAGCATGGACAGTTTAGTGTCCACTTGACTCAACTTGTGATGAATGAGATTTTTTAGATGCATCAGTTTGCTCTAGCAGCAAAGGCTATCCAGATTTTCTCTTTTGTACTGTAGCTTGTCAGTACTATAGACACACTTGGATCTTTCCCTGAACTGTTTGTGGTTCCAATGATAAACTTAGAGTTTACCCAAATGTTAAATATTTGATGGGTTATTAAATTAATTACCTGTATTTAAAAAAAATTATAGTCTTGGCAGACCATTACCTTGAGCATGTGACTATTAATGGGCATGACACTGTTAGAGTTTAGTGTAGAAAACAGCCTCTGAATCCCACATTTTCTGCCTCTCATCCCATGATTTTTTAAAAGAGTCAACACACCTCAGTGATTTCTTTGGGAAAATCCTGTATATAGTGTATAGTATATGAAATGTTCTTGGGTCACACATGTAGTGCACACATTTTGTGGTTGTGTTTAGTTTTTCTCTGACCTAGTGGTGTTGGTTCATTCTGTGTCGCTCATAACAAAATCTCTCCTCTTCACACGCTACTCTTGGATACACACACATCTCTGCTGTTGCATCCCTGGACTAACGTGGACTAACCATTGTTTGGTCTTGTAAACCATGGGGTAATGTTGGTGTGTTGCGTGCAGCTGGTGAACCCTCTCAAGATGAAGGAGCAGTTGGTTGCTCAGCTCCAGACACAAATTATAGACCTGGAGAGGTTCATTGAGTTCCTGCAAGGTAAGTTGTACTGTACTAGTACATTGTCTCTCTTGTGAAACACTGGAGCCTGTTTTGATCCAGTGTTGTGCCTTGCTGAAACATTCTTACTGGTTATTTCATCCATTTTTTTATCTTTTCATCTAATATTATTATTCAATTAAATACTATATATATGTATCAAATTTTACATGGTCATCCATAATATGTCTTTTCATTCAATGATTCTTATCCATGGAAAGCAATTATTTTCAAGTGTTTTATCTTTTCACTGATAAATGAAGTTTATTAACACTAGAATACTTCAGTATAACTTGTGGTACAGTAATAGAATGAAAGGATTTTGGATACTGTATTTGTTTGTGGAGATGTTTTAAATGTATATCCATAAAGCTCTCTAATACCTGTTGATTTTGTATTCATACTGTACACTCACTCCAATTAGTATCTTTACGATTTTGTTTGAGACAATATCACACAACAGATGAAGGATTTTGACAACCTTACTGAGACAAACGGGAGTCAAGGTGTTCATTTTCAAATTCACCGGACCTCTCCGTAACGATACTTTTTAGATTGAGGAACAGTAGCTAAAACAGCTATCTGTGCATACTTTGCTGGAAACAATATGAGACCATAGACGATAAATTTTGGTATGTGAGGACTGTCACTAGTCACACGTAAAATTTTGGAGCATATCAACCCCACTTGCACAGATAGTTGTTTTAGGTACTGTACACCACATCATAAGGAAATTTATTTATCTCTCTTTGATGAAATTTGGAAACATCCTTCAGAATATATAATGTTATTTCACATGATCTTGTTTATTTAATACAATAACTCCAGTATTTGTGTCTCACTTTATAACAATGAGAGAAAGTCATCAGGTGTGATCATTAAGGTGTTGTGTTTTTCTTCTAAGGTTATAATGACTCCGTATCTTCAAAATAAACAGACTGTCTTGCTAAAGGCTTTCATGATTTTTTAAGATAACTAATTATTATGACAAAAGGATCACACATTACATGGAAGAATATCTGTTTAACGAGTTTCTCAAACAAGAGAAGCATAATTTTCACTCTTGTAAGCTTTATTCTGCAACAGAGTAGGTGACCACTGTCTTCTCTAAAAAATGTTCGATTATATTATTACTCCCCCTTTTCACAAGACCCTGATATATCCAACCTGTTTATCCCCGTCACTCCACACAGTCCATCAGCAGTGCCACCCATCATCCCCAATAAATCAATCTGTTGTTTTGGTCGGGAAAAATTGGATTCTTTATCTAGAGCTGGTGGTAACAGATAGGTTCAATACTTATATAAAAAGAAAACTTTCATTAAGCAAATCTCTGTCTGTCTCTCAGGGTAGCCATTTTGATTTTCCACATTTTTCTTCTTCAAATTTCACAAATAAGTATGGCTGGTATGTTTCTGGGAGGAGCTGTGTACTAATCTTTTTACAATGGCTAGAACAACACCATATTGTTGTGGAATGCAGTACAATACACACATATTAAATCAAACAAAATGTACTGTAGTTTGAATTTTAAGACTTCGAATTGTCTTGGTAAATACTGTACTAACATTATGCAAGCAGTAGGATAAGAGTTGAAGATAGCGGAACGGAATATATGTTGTCGGAACTCAATATTTGCAACGCCTGAATGACTTCTTCTTACTTCTACAAATAACAATTCCTTTACATGCATTCTTATAAAGCTGTACTATATGAATGATCTTAATAGTATTATGAAATTCTAATATATAGTCTTATTTGCCTCGCCTCTCTATAGACGAAGGAACAGTAGAGAAAGTCAAAGGTCCCAAGACCCCTTGTAACTGTGACGGAGACCCACCACGCCGTCCTGGTGATGGTAAGTCGCAGGAGTCAGGCAGCAAGTGGGGCAAGACTGGCACTCAGAGAAACAAGAACAAAAGAACAGCTCCAGATCAAGAGCAGGTTTGTTCTTCTGAAGTAATGGTTAAATTTTTCATCCATAATTTTCAAGAAACATTTCCTGCCCTTGTTGCTCATGTACTGTAGTTCATATGTACTCTTACTTGTACTTCCTGTCCTTGTTCCTCCTGTACTGTAGTTCATATGTACTCTTACTTGTACTTCCTGCCCTTGTTGCTCATGTACTGTAGTTCATATGTACTCTTACTTGTACTTCCTGCCCTTGTTCCTCCTGTACTGTAGTTCATATGTACTCTTACTTGTACTTCCTGCCCTTGTTCCTCCTGTACTGTAGTTCATATGTACTCTTACTTGTACTTCCTGCCCTTGTTGCTCCTGTACTGTAGTTCATATGTACTCTTACTTGTAGTTCAGGAGAGACTAATTTCAACAGCATATATGGAGCTATGACGTGCTGAAGGGATTTGCCTCTTTACATCTCGCATCAGATACTTCCTCACTAACTTTTTTTTAAGATTCAGGTATTACAAAACCTTTAAAACTGGAGGTCATGATAATTAGAATATTCTCTATTTACCATCCAGATGATTTGCATACATCATGGTTTATCTGCTTCATGTTTGTAGTGGAATATTTCAATTACTCACATAGATGACAGGTTACCTAATATATATACAGTCCCATGTTTGATAAGATTCTTGCCATCGCCAGCTACGGAAAGAGACTGAGAATATCATGAAGCGAGCAGCAACGTTAATGAGCATGCTGTCATTTGGGTGTGGGACCAGCAGGAACAGATTCAGGAAGAATACCCTCAAGAAAACACCGCAGGGAAACCATTATGGGTGAGTGAACGCTCGTGAAATTGTCCAGATTTCTGTTCGTTTTATTGACCCTTTCAAGAACTTTATATGAAGAGGAATATTTTATTGGTTTCATTTACTGCTACAGTGACACCACCTCTATTTAACTGATTATATGGAGATAAAAGTCAGTTATATCGAAGGTCTGTTGGATGTGAAACCTCCATCTAACGAACTATATAGAGATGGAAGTACATTATATATTAAGGGTCCATTAGATGTGACCCCCCCACCTAATGGGTTATATAGAAATAGATGTCCATTGTATTGAGGTTTCACTGTATTAGGGTCAATTACAATGGGTCTCACTCTCTAGTGGGTGGTGCGGTCTGTAAAAGTTATGCACTGCAAATTTTTATATCGGGATAAGGATGCAATCATATCCCCAAAAGTACTTGTATACCCAGAAATATCTATTGTTGTATAAAGAAATATGACTTTTAATATTACTTTTAACTCGTATTTCTTTCAGTGTTCTATTAATACACGACCCTCACAAGCCACTTTTTTTCCCTACAGTAACACTCTTCATGTTACTTTTGTCATCCTTACACGAGTGGTAGATAAACTTAACCTCCTGTTCCACAATTAATAACTTTTATGTCCTTTACTGTACTTACCTGTGTAGTCCACTGATCTGTCCTTGAGCAACAACCCTTTATTATACTTCTTTGTTGCTGGCCACAACTACTCCTTTACAGATCTTGTTATGAGGAATAAGAAGTTCTCATAGTTAGTAAATTTTTTCTTAACAAAAAACTAAAATGAGATTTGAATACATTCATTTTTATTGTTTCTCTTTTACTGTAGGGATTTACGAGCAGCTCTAGAGTTGGCGATCTCAAATTTGCTGGAACTACTTGGACCTGAAACTCCTGTAGACAGCGACTACACCAGTGATTCTGAGGAGATGCCCATCATGGCAGGTAATGAGGAGCTAACACAAGCCGTCCGCAAGCACCTCGCACCCTCACTTAGAGATCTCATACAACATGGACTAATGCCAGTAAGTTGAAGTTTTAGTATTAGTGTTCAGTGTTTAATATTCAATCAAGTTTTTACAAGTAATTTTGTAGTCATTTTGAAGATATTTATCCTTGAATTAGCCCCAGTATGTACAAGCTCTTCAGACTGTCCTTCCCCACTGTTGCTTACACCATCCCACCCCCTCCCTTCCTCACTTCCTACATTACTTATATACTTTCCCAAAGAAAATTTCAGGGTTAATCCTTCACTTTACTGCACTTGCTTTCCTCATAACTTTACCTTGTTGGAATCATAATATTTCTTCTTCACAGTAACCACAATTCTAACTTTTCATCTTACTCTCAGAAAATTTTGTATCCCAACTAGCCATCTTGTTCTTAGGAAGTCTGTTTATGTCTCTCACTTTATAGTTATCATCTTCATCTAACAGACAACAGTTTTACCTTAAGAACTGCAAACTGATAATTTCCCCATTATTTCCCCTTATCTTACTTATCTTTCAGTTTTGTTAAAATAGTTTTACTTTCTTTATTACTAAACTCAGAACCTATATCAGTCATGTTATTTACCGTAAACCATCACACAGTCTTGCATGATATTCCCCATACTGAAGTTGTTGTACTCTATGCTAAGATGACAACAACTAAAGAATCTGGTATCATACTTCCCTTGATTGTGATGCAGGTTGGACAAAGCCAGAGTCTGGTGCCGTTCCTATCATGTTTCCCGCAACAGTCACAGAAGCCCACCAAGTTGATGCACGCGTGGGACCTCATTCTCAAATATTACCACCTCAAAAAGGGAGACCAGTATAATCGAACACCTGCCAGAAGACTCAGTCAGGTAAGATGGATAATTCATCGTGGTATCTGCGTCATATAAGATACTACAGTCAGAATACAGAGAAATGTTTTGAATTTACCCCCAGATGTCTTGTAAAAACCTTCAAGAATGTTGCTTATTATATGTTGTCAAATTCAGTTAAAAAAATGTTAATTTGCAACAGAATTTGAGTATTGTCAAAAGTGTCCCATAATAATATCTTCTTTTCTTTTCATTTACACCTTTTTCTGTGTGTGTGTTTTGACTCACTTCATATGCCCATCGTGTATTCATTTCCACGCATGCCTGGAGAGGTTTAAAAAGAGAATGGCTGGAGTGGTTTAGTTTAGATCTGGTGTGTATGTACTGTAATAATATGTATGTATGTATGTATGTAATGTGAAAATTCTGGTTGAGATTAACTTGGGTTGTACATAGTTGATTATTTTGGAAGTTATGTCACTTCTTTATTTGGCAGCTAGTGATAGTACTACTGTATGTGTGTTTCAATTTATTTTGCTAGTTCAATCTGTGATGAATAACATTTGACAAACTGAATTGCAGAGTTTCAACTTGGAGATCACAGGTGGATCAGCCATGACCAACAAACAGACTCTTCTTGGGGTCATCGGCAGCATCATTTCCTCCCACACCCCCCTCAAGCGAAGCTATGACTCACATTTTAAGGCCTTCATCTGTGCTGCTATTAAGTAAGTACAGTACCTCATTTGTTATCAGTTATGTATTAAAAGTAAAAATTGGACCGAAATGTTGGCATGAGTTTATATAGTTTTCACTTGAAAGAGAATCCATTCTATTAAACACTGTAAAGAAAAAATAGTCTTGAATTCATTGACCTGACATATTGATTCACTTACCACCAGCAGCCAATGAACATCTTGTAATGGTTGCTAAGGATGCCACAATGATTATGATCACTGTCTTCTGAATGTTGGAAAATGTGGCCACAATTTAGGACAGAAAGATTGGAAGGTAATATAACTAAGTTAACTTTCTTGTGTTTTAAACAGCCAGAAGAAGTTGATTATTTGGCTCCGTCTCATCTTCCGGACACAGGCACTGACAGAAAACTATTACCAGTCTTGGAGTTACGTCAGCAAAACGGGTATGTAGCTTAGAAGTCTTTGTTTGGGCACACAATTAATTTTTATCGTGTCACTGGTCATTGCGGGTATTACAGCATGGTATAGTATCTGGTAAGAAGACAACCAAGTTTTCTTAATGATTGGTTGTGAACTTAGACAAAAATAAACCATATATCAATTCTGTCTCCTTGGTATTGTAGCGAAGTAATGAAATTTCTATAAAATATTTCACTCTTGAAAATGTTGATATCCCGTGTTGTTGTATCTATATTTAAATATGTTTATAGGATTTCTTCCTCTTTGAAGGACATAAACTCGTCACTGTGGCTCACTGAGTACTGTACTGTACATAAACTTATTGAGATAAACACCAACTCACATCTTCAATGTATCATGATACTAGTTGTTACTTATAATAGTTGTTTGTTGGCTGTTTTAACATTTATTCATTGCTTTCTTTTTTGTCTCCAGGTTTTGAAGATGCCCTTCGTTCATTAGAAAGGATAAATAAACACAACTTCAATTTGCCAATTGATTTAGCAGTTCGGCCATTTCAAAACATCAAAGATGCATTCTGAACAGGTGATAAATATTTGAATTGTGAGGCTGAGTCTCACAAAATCATGATTAAAGTTATTGTCTTCCTCTGGTAAGGATTTAAACAGTGTATACTGTACTTCTGTACCTCCTTGTGTTCTGCTTCATAGGCAATTGAAGATTTTGGTTTGAATTTAGTCCAAAGTTTTTATTTTTATTACTCATAGGTAGACATTATTATGTTTCCACAGCTTTGGCTGGAGCACAAGGAAAAATAATTTGTGAAAATAACTGGTATGTAACCATTAATCACCAAATCTACGTCCAGAAATTTTTCTACATTAAGCCACGGTGTCTTATTTAGAATCTTGTAACATTTCACTCACAATCATCTCATGCAAGGAAACATTGTCAGAACAACCTTTCTAAAGTTTAAAAATACTTCCCAATATTAGATGAGTGTTACCATCTAAGTTGCTGGCCAGTTCAAGTGGCTCCCTTGATTTCATCTCCCACCACTGTGGGGAGGCTCCTCCCTGGGGTAATAGGTTACCCATAGTGCTGGGTACAAGTCTCATAGGTTGTGAATCCAAAGAAATACTCTTATATACCATGGAATTTTTCTCTTACAAAGTGAAGTTATGGATATAATAAAATGGGGGCCCTAATGATGAGTCATGATAGAGTGAAGTACAGTATTACATGAAGGAATGGGAGTAAGGATCCCCTTTGTTGTATACAGTACAGTATATTGTTCATTTATGTAAAGATTGATTTGAGACTTTATGTGAAAGGTAAATGAACCAAGCTTCATGCATTGAAAAATTTAATGATCATCAGGTTCTTGGCAAGATTTTTTTTTATATAGAGGAAAGATAGTCTGTATTTCATGGTGCAAGACTGAACTAAGTACTACATGTAGTATAGCTTCATATTCTATATAAATAAGAAATGTGAATGGCAATGATGTTCCAGCCCATCAGTTACGGCTGCAAAACAAAGTACTGGGGGAAAAATAATAGAACATTCGTAAAAAGTACTAAATATAAACGTGAAATAATGACCTCGTATAGGTCACAACAAATAGTTTATCTGATAGTTTCATACAGTATGTATCTGAGCCTGAGGCCATTTGAGGGATTATATATTCAATGTGTATAAGGAAAGTAATGTATGAACATTTTCTAGTCAAAATTAATACCGGTACTGTATTGCCCTTTGTGTGCTTGGTATTGAATGTTCATCTACCTTGACAGTGTAGCAAAATGACTACACTGTATACCTATGAATGATTCTTATATAGTACAGTGTATTGAGATCAGCTGCTTCCATGTTATGCATTGATTCAGTCATAATGAATACTAAAAATTAAGATATTGCATATTGTAATTTGTTATGAGATAATCAGTATTAATATGAGCGGAGTAACTTCTGAGGGATAATTTTGAATCTGTAAAGGTGATAATGAAAAGCCCCTTGAGTTGTCTTTCACCACTTAAGTTGTTGTCATACAGTATATGTATCTGTTTAGTTGGCAAGAATCAAAGCAAAGTTTTCCAGGTAAATTCTTCTCCATAGGCTAAGGTCCCTGTTCACTCACTCCAAAAAGTGCCTTTACCATTTTGTGCTAGATGATTTGACACAAGAGACGAAGGATTTTGACAACCCTACCGAGACCGCAGGAGTTGGTGTTCATTCTGAAATTCATCGGACTCATCCGTAAAGATACTTTTGGAGCGAGTGTACTGTACATCAATGTATCTGACTGTGGTAAACCTTTTATGAGTGCTTCAGTTTTAGCATCCATGTTACTGTGACAATGCCCATCTCTATGTACAGTACAGAATGGTGATTTGAAGTGTCATTTATACAGCTATACAATACATTAACTTATTCACAGGTATATACCAAGTTAATATGGTAAGGTATTGCAGGTGAAAAGAGTAGAAGAATGAATGGGGGAAAAAGAAGAATGTGAATGGTGTTAAGAAAATAGATTGAACAATTTATTATACACTATCCGACTTCATAGAAGGAAGTAGGTTTATAAATTATGTGCATTATTTATCATACATTTTTCAATTGTTGTTTCTGTTTCAGTCAATCAATGATTAGTTTTGTGAGCTGTTTGTATTTAGTGGTTGACTTCTGGTATGAATTTTGTAAAAGTAGCACAATTGTTTCCATTCTGGTGGTGACCTGTGCTGTTTAAAAACCTTGATGGGCTGTGGTGTAAAAATTTTATGTGGTCAGGGTTAGGTATACATACAGTAAATCTTCTCGGTACTGGATACTCCCAATAATGTATGTCTTTGTATACAGTAACACTAGTGGCTGAGACAGTAAAATCCATTAATGTGCGCAGTTGTCCACAATTGACTGCACGGTCAGTTGGTGCATGTCGGGGCTTGCCAGACACAGTTTGGCTGAGCATCCCAGCCGTCCAAACCTGTGGGAGGGCAGTAACTGCACATGATTGGTGGACTAAAAGATGCTGTGCTGTGATTGGTTGAGGGCTCCCACAGTCGCTTATGCATGGCTTTTCGGTCTTCTCCTTCATCTCGTGCCGTTTTCTTGTGAATTTCCGTGTGTGAAGCATCATTATGGAGTGCTATTATTGTCTAAGGTTAATATACAGAATAAGAGATTCCATCCCTCAGTAGAAAAGAGGCTTGAAATTAATTAAAAGATTGAAAAAAAGATACAGTACTTTTGTGTCTGATACTATGACAGTGACCAATTTACTGTCTCCATATGCCTGGCACAAGAAGAGGGAGCACCACTTGTGCCAGGGCAGCATAAACAAGGTACTGTAAGTTGAATCTCTATTATACAGTATTCATTACAGTATAAAGTGTGCATTTTGATGCCCGGTAGTGATGTGAAACTTTTATGGCATTTTGTATATACACTACACAAGGAAAAAAGGAAACTGCCCCATTAAGGGAATCCCCTATTAATTGACTCGAATTAGTCTGTTATTGAGAGGATTTACTGTTCATGTTTTACAAAGTATGAGCAAGAATACTTGAGTATTACTACCTGTTGTCTTAGTTCTTTTCTCTCACTTCCTGCACTTATCAAACATTATTATATTCCTCCCTCCCTCCTTTCATGTCTATATTGTTTCATTTCATAAAAAAAATGGGAGAGGAGCAAAGATAATAGATAAAAATAGTGTTATACTGTATTGTGTCTGACTCGACTCGACTATTATCGGAAACTGTGAAAAACCGTAGACCTGTGATTGACGATACTGTAACTACTGTACAAAGGTGTAGAATTAATAATTTATTCATTTACTTAAAGTGGTAGTTATTTGCTGCATCAGAACCATATAACCAAGACATGTAGTATTTAGTGACACACACACCACTTGTATTCTAGTCAAGTAAGAACCGTGTCTGAGAGAAGTAAAAGTTTTAAATATTAACTTGTTTATTAATCTTTTTATGTAATAGCAGTTTCAAATTACCAGCAGACTAAAATATTTTTCTTTAATATTGCAATTGTAATTTATACAGTACTGTATATAGCCAGTGGAGTTTATAATTATAATTTCTGTTGCTTATTGTCAAGTGTTAAGCAAAAGTTTGTGCGAGGCCTTATAGGGATAAATTGAACACAAGTCATTTCACGAACAACAGCTGCAGGAGTCATGGGGTGTTTTGCCTGAGTATTTAAGATGGTCTGTCATGCAGTTGGGAAAGACATTTAGGCATTTAAGTACTACAGCTAAGAACTTTATCATAAAATCAGTAAATATTGTTTGTAATTTTATTATATTTCAAAGCTGCATATATATACTATACTGGGATTTAATTTACCTGATGTAAAGTACAGTACTGTGGTGGGTGTATGGTGATGCTGTAGATGAATTTTAAATCATCAGGTATAATCTTTCACGACCTTCAAGAAGTAAAATTGAAATAATATTACATATCATTATATTGTTTAACTAAAGCACATTGTATTCATAGAGCAGTTTATGATTCGTGACACCATCAGTACCTAGAAGTCTTAAATGATGCCACTTTTCAGTAATTTCTCTGTTCCCAGGGGCCAATATAACCCTAAACTCTTTTATGCTTATTATTGTAATGTCTCTTATTTCTTTGTGAATATTTACATTATTTACAACACTTTTGACTATTACAGAGATAAAATGCTGATATATTAGCATTTTTTTCTGGTTTTTGGAATGAAATTAGAGAAATTGTACTGTGAACCATCCTAAGCTTCCCATTTTTGTGAAATGATTTCCATCTAATTGTTTGTATGTAAATGTTCAGACACTTACAAACACATTATCATCACTATATTACAAGTCACTCTCACTCACCACCATAATGAACACCATATCACTTCAATACTCACCACAACAATCATCATCCCACACACCACCACCATAGTACCCACGACACCATCTCAATATTCACCTCAAAATACATAAGAAAAATCAGTACTAATACAACTTGTGGGATATCAGAGTGTTCCACCAATGAGTGAATGACAGAGCAGTATTTCACTAGGAGGTACATCCTCAGGTTCACTGCTTGATGTTCCTCTGACTGTAAAGGTTATATGCCTCAAGTGTGTTGAATGAAAAACAAAAATTTGTCTATCATCTCCAGAGCTTGTGTTGAATGGTGATCCCCATGTTAGAAGGGTTTGTTTCACCCAGCTCTGGATACCATTGTAAGTAATGATAAACCAACCTTGCCTGGTTGTTAGTGATGAGACTTATGTCATGGTTTAAGAATCAGAAATGTTAACACTGTACAGTATGTTCAGTTAATTTACTTCTGAATCGGGGAACTTGCTATGCCCATAAACATATGAATATGAAACAAACGAATGGAACTGTGTACTGTACATACTTTTCTGGGATATAACAGTAGAGCCAAAAAATGTAACAATATCAAAAGTTAGTTACTGTATATTTTCCTGTAAGAAATATTTTCCCAAAAAGTTGAAGTGAACCCATTAAGTAAAACTGAAAGTTCAGTGTCCTGAAGGTAAATGTTATCACACAACATACCATACAGTGTGTTGCCCTACCTTAATAACAACACCTGTAGTATTACCGTATCAGTGTGAAAACATTCAAAGGAATTAGTTGCATCAAACATGAAATTTAATTCCTGCAAATTGTCCACACTCTTAAACTTCACAAGTTCCAAGTTACCCTTAAGGTTTAATATTGTGCAGACTGTTAATACAATAATTGTTTAAAAGTTTCTCCACTAGGATAAAATAGTAAGCATGAAGAGTGAGGGTACTAGTGGCATCTACAACATGGTGAGCATCCACATAATATGGTAAAATTGTTGTCGCTAAAGAGGTGAATTTTGTAGTCCGTTATTACCCGTTAAATATGATAACTAATCTATAATCTAAATATACTGACTTACAGGCATAAAAGTAATGATTGATTAAGGTGATGTATCAGAGGAGGGACTGTAATTGATTAAAAAAAAATAATGACAATGTTGCGGTGTATGAATTAAGATAAATTTAATGTTTTTGTGAAGCAGCTTGTAATGTCTTAATTAATACAGAACAAATTTGGTTATTATACACTTAATCTGTTGTGTCATGGTGATGTATCTCACGCACTGGAGGTTTAAAACAAAGGCAAAAAGATAAGCACACTGATCCCTAAATGTTAATAAGCAAAGCACTGTACGGTAAAGGAGCAGCTTCTCATATATGAATAATGTATAAGCTTGGTCTTCTTATTTAAACTCCTTAGTCTATTTCTCTGGAAACAGGAAGCAATAGTTTGATGTACAATTGCAGCCAAAATTTTATTGACACTTGGCAGTATCTGATATCTTGCAGGACACATTTGATTGAATTTGGGCTGTTGAGTGTTGCTCTTCATTTTATATTTAAATTCCATTATCAGTGTTGTATAAAAGAAAATATGAATAAATAGATGTTAAATGCCAGTTCACCTTACCAACACAACCTTCAAGTACTGTAGTTGCTAAACACCAGGTTTTATTAAGTGTTAGATATTGTGTTTACAACTGTATGTAGTTAGGTTAAAAAGGCTCTCATTTCCTCTTGGTTTATATACAAGTATGTACTGTATAAATTATTATTACTATAGTTCAGCATCAGGAAGGGAAACTTGTCTTTATAAGCAAATATCACAAAATTAATTCATTATATTTTGAAGGTCATGAATGGTTAAGTAGTATTCAATCTCTGCCAAGTTGCCAGATGTTGCACACATATGTGGTGATACAAATCTTGTAAATTTTTTAAATTAACTGCATTTTTTTTATTAAACTCAGAGAAAAATACGTCTATTATGTGAGTTGTAAAAAAAAAAGTGGGCAAAATAATGGGTACAAAATTAACATAATTATGTTGTATAAAGTCATTCTATCTTTTTCTGTTATCTTACAATGTCATTTCACATTAAATCTTAACTTCAGCCAGACTTGACTTTCACTGGTGATCACTCAAGGATGTGACCCATGTCAGGAGCACACGGGAGGAAATTCATTTGTCAAGTTGCCTTTAATCACCGTGGCATGGCAGCAACAGAATTCCCAAAGTAATAGAAGAGTTTGTATGACTACATGCACAGTACATAATTCTATCTGTACTTTATTTGGAAGTATTTTAGTAACTATAGATCAGTAATGTGCTGAACCATGACTACAGAAGTTAATACCAATCCTAGTACAGTATTTGAAGAAATTAGAACACAAAGTAGCAACTTCGCCTATTGTACCAAACAAAATTGGCAGCAGTCAACAAAATACTTAGCTGAACACATTTGAGGAAGAAATGCTTGGCTAACAAGTCTTTGAAGAAGACAGTGAAATGAAAATGTAAAGTTATGAAGTGATTTAGTGAATACTGTACTCACAAACTGTGCGCTGGATCTACAATTCAGTTGAGCTGTTGACTAACTCCAACCCTCCCTCAGTGTGATTAGTAACTACCACAACTCACTGAAGTTGACTTATTGAAGTGTGAAGTGCACTGCCACACTGATGAATTCACTTAGCAACCATACAAGAAGAAACTATACCGTCACAGTTGCTAAGGTTTCCAAAAGTGAGCGGAGCTTAGTCAATAGGTCAGTTCTTTAACCGTCTTGGTACTGTACCGGAGAAGAACATCGGTGAATAGTGAAGCAGTGTACTGCATCATCACTTCTTATACTGTACAGTATAGTGCATTTATTATTATATGTGGTGAAGTATTACATAAGCTTAAGTCAATAGTGATATGAAAATTATATAACTTAAGTAGGACAGTCTTTGGTATTTCTTGTGAATATATAGTGTCTTATTAGTGTTATTCCCAGACCCGGAGAACTTAATGACACATCACTTCATGAGCCGACTACATGTATATGTAAACGTGACGCTCATATTGTACTGTAAAAATAAGTATTATATAACAAAGTTGATATATAAAACTGTTGTACTGTACATCTAGCCTTGTTCAACTATATGCATGTGAGGATTATCACTGATTACTTACCTGTTCAGTTATACCACATGTCAGGTACTGGTGTATCATCATTTGTCATTAGTTATACCACAAGCAAGGTAGATCATAATTTATTTTCACTTATACTACGTGTGAGGTATATCATCATCATCATCATCAGTTGTATTCCATGTCCGTTACATCATTCATCACCAGTTATACTACATGTGAGTTATATCATATCATCATCTTGTTATACTACGTTAGGTATACCATCATTTGTCATCTAACCATTTTAATTTCATATAAATCTAGTCACCAATATATCAGTATGAAATAAGCACAAATGCCTGACTTACGTATAGTTCAGTACGCTTCGGTCTTCAATTTCCACGCTGAACTTTGCCAAAAGAGTATCTACCGTGCTCTTCTGTTTGCTATAAAGAGCATGTGCGCGTGTGTGTGCACATATCACGGGTCACAGGCAAAATAGGCCTCAGTTTTAATAAGCACCAACCTGTCAAAACTATTATAAATTGAAATTCGTATGATTGAAGTTTATTCTGACTTGACTCGAATCCTAAGAGTCAGGTATTGGGATATATTACCTCATTAGGACTGGGGCCCCTTTGACTAGTTACCGGAGTCATATAATGAAGGTGTTAGTGTATTATATCAAATGTAGTAACATTTATAAATAAGGTAATTATCATGTTAGAAAAACTTCTCGTTAAAAGGAAGTTGTTTAATTTTTGACAGAATAATCCCTCCTTTGCACATTCCTTCAGTCTTGCTAACTATTGTAAATATATTTACTGCAATTGGTTCGAAGTTAAAATATACATTTATTGCAAGAGATGAAACTGTTTTATTAAAAAATTCCCTGCATAAAGCAGTGTTATGAAATAGGGTGTGTGGCCAGACTAATAGTGACCCCCAGACATACTGTATAATGGACTAACTCACCTAATAATGCATAACTAAAAGAAAGATTGGGGGGGGTAAAAAAATATGTATATTATATGGTAAGGTCACTGAATTGTATACTTGGAGTGACAATTTTAATATAACTACAGTAAGTCCTCGTATAACATTGGCCCGCTTAACACTGTTTCGGTACTACGTCACTAATCTTTAGATACCCAAAATTCGTATAACGTTTATGCGTCGTCACTACTTTTTACGGCGCATCACCCTCTCTCGGTGCGCTACAATACCTCTAACTCGCCGAATGTCACAGCGTCCCCAACCCAGTCTCTGTTAGGCTTCCACATCAATGGTGTGTGCTTAAGTGTTTTTGCTATAAATACTGTACTCTTAACCATTCGAAATGGCTTCCAAGCACTCATCAAGTTCTACTAGTGTTGCGAAGAAGCAATGTAAGACCATTAGCCTCGCTACAAAAATGGAGGAAGAACGCCAGCCAGAGCGGGAGGAGGAGGCACCAGTCGAGTCTCAGTGACTCGCCCTCCTCCTTCGCTCCTGCCATCCTTCTCCTCCTCTCCCGCCCTCCTCCTCCGCTCCACTACCCACCACACACTCGCTCCACCACCTCCGTCCATCAGTGAGTACAATACAAAATGATTTGGTTTATTTATATATACAGCTGTATATATACTATTTTCTATAAAAATTCCATTGAATTTCTGTATATTTAATGTATTTCATGGGGCAAAGGGACGCTCAGGAACGTAACTCCCGTATTTTATCTATTTCTTATGGGGAAAATTGATTCGCTTAATGTTGTTTCCTATAACGTCGCATTTTGAGGAACGTAACGACGATGTTAAGCGAGGACTTATTGTATTGGTGTTGGTTCTTTTATCATTGTATTTGTTCCTAATTTGTTGTTGTATAAATAATTGTGAAATTGGTTAGAATTCTTTAATTGCATTGAGTTTTGTTGTACACTGATGTGGTTTGATTAACTAAGTAGTCCAGTACCTACCATCTTAATTATGAATGAGATCTATTTCTTTTATGGAGTTACATAGCAAAACTGAACAAACCAACATCTATCAGAGTCTGAATGTGTCTCTTTTGACTTGGGTTTGCTGACTGGAAGCATCTGTAATGATGAAAATTATTACTAGGTAGAAATATATGCAGTAAAATTTATTATCAGGTAGAAATATATGCAGTGAAAATTATTACCAGAAATATATGCAAAAATTATTATCATGTAGAAATATATGCAGTGAAAATTATTACTAGGTAGAAATATATGCAGTAAAATTTATTATCAGGTAGAAATATATGCAGTGAAAATTATTACCAGGTAGAAATGTACAAAGTGAATTGTTGTGGATCATAAAGATTCATTCTATACACTGCTTTAGTCAATACCAACAATAGTGTACATAGTTATTTCTACTTGTCTTAGCACTTTTCTGTTTCACTCTTCACTTGTCTTCAAAACTCTACCCTACTATACCCCTTGAATCACTACACACAAGAATGGGAGAAGTAATGTATAGAGATAATAAAAAAAACAATTAAAAATGTAAATGTTGCTATAGAAACAGTGCGAGTCTTGACAACTATCAGATAATCATAAGAGAGCTTGGGATGATTTTTTTTTTTTACTGTACATCTATGTAGGGAGGCCAAAATATTTACACCATACCAGTAGTTATACATGTTTTCTTTGCTGTCGATGTAGAAACAACACATTGAGTATACGGCACACCGAGCCAACTCACGTGAGGGATAATCACGAAGAGATCCGAGTTATACATGACAGGAGAATATGACGTTGGGTGGTGTATGGAAATGCTGACTGATTGGGAATGTAGTGCTGTATGGAAACCTTAACCTCTTGAGTATGATGCTAACTCCCTGAGTATAAAGAATTAATCCATTTAGTATAATATCTTTCTCCTTGAGTACAATGTTAACCTAGAGTACAATAAATTAGCCAATAAATTAGGATATTTTAACCCCTTGAATACTGTACTATGTCAACCTCTGAGTATAAAGACTCGGCCCATCCATCATACTCGAGGGGTTAAGAGCAATGTTGTAGAAGGGGAAACACCCCATCAGAACACATCTCTTACTACAGGTGCAAATGATGATGATAGTATCTTGAGTTGCTCTTGATTCTGGTCATTCTATGCCTTAAGGGAAATAACATGAAAAAAAAAAAGCTTATTTACCTCACTGGGCTTGGCAAGATTATTCCATTTCAAACACACAAACACACAAGGGGTTACAGTAACAATGAATGATAAACAACCATGGTACTCATCTTGGTAACTAACCTCTGAACTTTATCATTTGCTCCTTGCTTCATGGACACCATCATCTGCTGCACCAAGGGATCCATTAGTGCCTCCTTCACTTGTGGATTCTCCATTAACTTGCTAGACAAAAGTTCCTCTTCACTTTTTATGCTACTGTTCATGTGCAGGAAGGTGTCACCTGCAATACATTATACTGGTTGAGTGTATGTGAGGGTTAACCGGTGTTAAATATATAAAACTGAACATAGATGCTCTTACTGTAGCTTCTGTGGTAATGGTTATTTTAATCAGTTCCAGATCTGGAGAAATAACAGCTTTCACACTCAATAACATGAAGGAAAAGTTTATACTGTATTACTGCTGCAGACAATTAGAGGATTTTCATATAAAATAAATATTCCAGTAACCTGATATATCTTTAAAACCAGGAGAAGGGCATGTGTGTAACTACACTTCCTTACCCAAGACATTACACAGCTCTTTCAAGGTGCTTGTGACCTCTACATCTTTTCTATATTTCTTCATTGCTGCCTCAGGATCTCGCTGAAATTCATCAAGAATTGGTATCCACGCTGGGTCAGACAATACATCTCGTACGTGGGCGTTTGTTTCCAGCCTGAAATTTCAAAATAAAATAGAAATATGTGCTCTTTTACAAAATAGAAGCATGCATTATATGCCAATACAGTAATGTATTGTATTCAATGACATATAATTCACAATGTCAATGGCACTGCCAGGATTTTTTGAAGGGCAGGAACCAAGGTTCCCTAAACTTTCTTTTAATTTTTTTACATCACAGTGCAGAAGGATTTTTTTTATGTGCACCAATACAGTGGTCCCTCAGTTAACGAATTACCTTCCATAAGAATCTTCAATTCGGTTAATGAACAAAAATTCAATTAACGAAATCCTTACGAACATCACGTTTTGTGTGAGCATCAGCTGATGGGCTAGTCTGCCAATTCAGTAATCTGTTCTATGTTTATATTCGTTTCCAGTGGAGTAAATATCAAGAAAGTTGTACTCTTTAATATCTCTGCATTTTTTATATTAAAATTACTAATCATTTTAACATTTATTTAACATATTGATAATATATGCAGTACAGGGAACTAGTTTCTTGTGCGCCCATCAGCAGATTGACTCAGCCACAAGACGTCAGTTGGGCTTGTTGACAGTGGAGTGAACATCTATTTTGTTGGTGTCTTGAATATTTTTGCATTTTTCATTGAAATTATTGGTAATTCTGAATTTTTTTTAATATATTGATAATATATAGCACAGTGTAGTGTTGATTTAAATAAAATAATCTTGAATTACACCTAGTGAACTTAAAATTTTATTGGTTAATTGATGGCATCAAGCATGGGTCCCCTGAAAGGTGATTTCTCCTCCATCCCCACTTCCTTCTCTTCTCCCTTCTCCTCCAACCCCACTTCTAATTCCCATCATCATCATCAACCTGGAACCTTCTACATACACACCTCAAAGTAAGTGTACTTTACTGCATTTTTTTATTTTGTATGTACTTTTCGGTGAGCTGGAACCAATTACCCAATATCCCATTGAAACAATGGATTCGGTTAACGAACGACCCTCTGAAACGAATTGTGTTCGTTAACCGAGGGACCACTGTACAATACTGAGACTGTGTAGATATGCATCACCAGTAGAAACCAAAAAGCCATTTACTGTATAATATATTTGTTTCAAAGTTACCATAAGTATTTTCAAGAAGTAATAAACACAATCATTAAATAACCAGGTAAACTACTTAAGATGTTTATTTAAATTGTTAGAGATACTACTGTTGCTGACACTATGGGCAACCATGCAGGTACACAGCCTGGAGGGAACACTGGTGTGAACAAGAGACCAAATCTGCAAAGCAAAAATGGATATTCCAAGCTGTTCTGTTGCAGCAGAAGATTCCCAGTTATATTCACTCACCAGAGGCACTGACTGCATACCTCTACAATTTGAACACTGTTACAGTTCTCATATTTGTCTCTTGTAATAAAACTAATACAGTACAGGGGAATATCATCAAAGACTCACTTCTTTGCTAACTTATCTTGGAACTCCATGGCATTGTTAGCATCCATGGCATTTTGGACCTCCTTAAACACAAGACTGGAATTCTCCGGTCGGGCTCTGATCATCGGGATGTTCTCAGCAGATTGTGTGGCTGCACCTGATGACTTATTACTTGTCCTGGTAGACAAACTCTTCTTTCCCTATAATATGAACAACAGAGATTTTTTTGTATTCTTAATTAATAGACTGCTGCATTAGTTACTCAAGTTATTTCATTCAAGGGGAGATAGATGCCGAGGTGCTTCATTGTTTGAATATTTCATCAGTTGGGAGTGAGACCTTAAGGAACCTAGCCACATTCTTTCGTTAGGTATAATATCCATATTTTCTTACCTTTGTGGGTCCTCCAAAGAGAAAACCTTTCTTCATTCCACCAAAATTTGATGATGAGGATTTCTGAGCTGATGCCTGCAAGAGAGAAGCCTTTTTTGTTGGGACCTCGGGTAAAGAAACCTCTTTGTTTTCTTTAGCCGTTCTCTTCATCTGTTCTGCATTTTGCACTCTTTCCAAAACCTCCGGCACATCCTCCAGGGGGGGCACTGGTCATACAATACACACCATAAACGTACAGTACAATAAAATACAAAATATGGTACTGTTTAGCACAGAACATGTAATGCTTAATTTCAATTATTCATTGTCAAGATAGCATCAATGGAAGAAATCTCTTACCAAAATAATTTACATGACATAATATATCACGCCTCAAACAAATGGTTACTGACAAAAGCATTAAGTGAAAGATGGTTACATACTTAAACCAATCATGACGGCAAACAACCTGAACCAACCTCTTGTAACAATCTTAAGTTAAACTATTTTTTGGTTAAATTATGTTTTGACTGGTAACTTCGTATTTTATGCAGTCAAAAATTATTTACACCCACAGCTTCCTACACTTACAAGAACTGCAATATTTTTATGGTAAATTCCAAATACAGTATTTTCCTTCGTTTACATTCTGCACTATTAAACTTGTATTAAGTGCGATTTAATCTCTTTTTGTGGCCTTTCATGGTCGGGAGCAAATACCCACTTCATTAAAACAATCAACCTGACCAACAGTTTTTACTGAATAAACATTGATAATGTAGTCAATCATATAAATTATGAAATCAATCACATATAACAAAAATATCTAACATAAAAGTGCCTTCTAATTTGGGGTAAGTTTCACTTGTCGCCACTACGAAATTTTTTGATGTGTAGTGAATGAATCTGACCTTCATTTATGACGCAAATCAATAGTTTCTGAGATAATCACCCCCCCCCCTCCTCCCATCTCAGCATCTAGAGATTTGCTATAAAAATTAAGGTTAAGTGTTCAAAACCATCGAATAAACACAAACAGTTTCGAATCTAACCTAACTGGGGGAGCTCCACAGTCATTGGACGTTATGGGTGAGTACCGCCTCGTAGGAACATACTACATACAGTAATAAAAGGTTAAATACCTTGCTTAAACACAATTTGTCTTAGAATTGTCAAAACTACTGATTGTAACTATAAAATTCCTGAGATTTGTTTAGTGGCAACATGAGAAATAATGATCAATTGTGGTGACTATTATATTTTCACAAAACAGTAATACGTATGAAACTTTTATTTCCTTAAAACACAACAAAGTAACAGACCAAAGGGTTAGTAAACCAATAAGAGGTGATGGGAATTAAAAATACTGTATGAATAGTAAAATTAATTAGGACTTGGTGTTGATTTCGTTATAAATACTGAAAACTTCACTGGACGTCAAGTTACGTTAGATTAAAATATATAGAAAATCCCCTGGATGTTCAAAATATGGTTCAGATCAGCCTAGACATATCAAGTCGTTAAGTATATAAGATAAATCCACAAGAATATACAAGCAAAAATGGGATTGTTGTCACTACCTTGGTCAGCCATGATGACGCCTCGCTGTTGTCATGGTAACCGATCATTAACCTTTATTCTAATATTAGCATTGTACTGTATATCTAGTTTAGTGAATTAATTTAAGTACAATGATATTTAATTAACTAGAAAATTTAATTAATAAATACATAATTAACGGCTGCTTGTGATAAATGTTAACGTTACTTCATTGTGGGTAGGTTTGGTAGGGTCACACTATCCTAGGTTAACTACATTATCAAGAAGTTGTCTACACATTCAACTTATAGTAGCAACGTAGTGTGCCTGCATTCCTTCACAAAGTTTACAGAACCAGAGACCCGGACAAATTTATCCCGATATCCTTGGAACATTCTCATAGATATATATCATAAGCTTTGTTACAGTAGAGTATTAATTGACGTTAGTACAGTATATGCTACATATTCGTATAATTCCATATGAAAAGTATAAGCTATGGTTACTGTAATTTGGATTTGGTCATGTTTATCATAACGAAACATTGAAGTTGTCTCATTAGTAGGCATTAGGCAATATCTACTTTTTTTTATCTAATAATGAGTGGGTTTGGCAGTTTGTGAACGGACAACAAAGTTTATGCTTTTGTGAATTTTTTTACGGTTTCTTTTCCTTGGTTGCACGCTATAAAATTTAATATCAAAAGGTTGATAAATTACGAAAAACAATGCACTGCTGGGATCTTATAATATGACGTTGCCGGACGTATGACCACCATTGTAAAGAAACTTGTCTAGAAGATGTTTATATAAATGCTAATTTTGCTAGAGCCCAATACTGCTTGTTAATCTGATTTGGCTATGTAGACCACCAGGTAAGACTTGGGTAAAGATGAGTATGATGGTGCTATACACGTACGAGCTCTCGATAGTGAGTGATACTGTTGGTGGTGATGGGAACCGCTGCCACTCTGTATTGCAGTTTGGTTGGTTGTTGGTGTATAAACCTTGTTCTCTGCATCCCGACATGCGTACGCCTTGTTTAACACCTCAGTCTTCAGATTCAAAGTAAGTACAGTATAGTGACACGTCACTCGTATAACTATCGTCATGTAATGTTGTCAGTGTATAATGAAGTGTGATCGGCTGTTGCTGATAGAGACTTTTGTAATGTTCCATAATATAAGTGTCACTGGAATACTGTTAACTCGTCCTGAGCGACGCAGAGGTAGACGCCTGAAAGTAAAATAAGGTCAGAATTAATCAGTGGTACTGTACAAACTACGTACACGCTGATACAAACCAAACTACCAGTAGCAGTAGTTCAGTGACGCTCCCTGTGAAGGGTCCATGCTAAATGACAATAGCGTTAAGATTTCTATTAAATCACCAATTGCCCGCCGCCTATAGTATAAAGCTAGATAACTGCAGGCGTTCTGATCTCTCCTGATGCTGGAGTGTAGGCACCAGTGTGGTGACCTTCTTTTGAGCGTTCTCAATCAATTTATTATTTGTAGCTAAAGTGTGCCTCGGGAACTAGACAGAATGACAATACTTCAAAGGGGGAAGCACTTCCTATCGAAGAGGCATGTGAGCAAGTCTTCATAAGTTCTACTAGTTTATTCGCTTGATCCGAGAAATTCAGTGCATCATAAACACCTAGATCTTTTTCACTTAATAGTCTCAGACTCTCAGTTAATTATGTTTCTTCGCCTCGTAGGGACGTGTAATTCAATTTCAATTTCAATTGTTTATTCCTTGATAGAGGAAGCGGGATCCTAGTGCTGTCACTAGGTACCCCTGTACAATGACACCAGAAGCATCTGGCAGGTGTGACAAGTATATACAGTATAAATATTATAAAGGGGCTTACTAAAGCCTAAGGAAGGAAGGATATTCCTTTAACACATAATCAATATTATTTACAAAATATCTGGCCAGTATGGGGAGGATCATCGTGTCTCCGTCAGGGGGTCGTGGAGTGGTGGTCCAGCAGGCGTCACGGAAGCGTTGTGTGTGGGGACATCTTTGGAGGTAGTGGATAAGGGTGCTGTTGTCGGGTCTTCTGCATAATGCACAAGAGCGTTGCTCAGGGGATGCGGGGAGTCGACGTGTAATTGTGTTATTTATTACAGCGCTTCAACAACTAAAGTCTTCAAGCGCGTATCGAGGTTAGTAATTCCTTGTTACGCGCTGGAAGACTTTCGTTGTTGAGACGGATTGCAATCGAAGCCAAGTCAAACCATAATAAGGCTTTCTTCCGTTGTACAAAGTAAAAATTTCTGACAACTGGCCACAGCGTAGATCTGAGAATTGAAGATGGGAACTACGCGGACTCAGATCATGGGGAAGCGTTTGAGGAAAATATCTAGCCAGTATGCAGGTGATAAGCATCTTACCTCCGTCAGGTGTTCCCGGAGTGGTGGGGAAATACGTCTGAAACACTTCTCGGCCCTTCTACAGACTTTACCAATAGTAGAGCAGGTACACATACTTTCTGGAGCCAATACTTGCCCAGTATTTGCCAACAGTGTGTAACAGAGAAGTGACCGACCGACCAAGCGGCAAAAGGCAATGGCGAAGAGGATAAAGGTGTCTTTTTTCTATACCTATCATACTTTCCCGTCCTATTTATCATTTGTCGCGACCCATCTCTTGAAATTGTGAGTTTTTTCTTAACTTTGTCAGTTACCTCATGGTAAAAAATACAGTATATGCTTCACCAAATTGTTTTAAATATTAACTTGAAAATTAAATATTTAAAAATATTATTTTAATTTATAATTATTGTCACGTGTATAATCTCTAATAGTCCACGAATCTAATATGAATAAAATTAGACAATAATTTGGAATCTTAATGTATGCACAATGTTACTTTAATTTCTTTACTACAAGAGCAGTTACAAAGAGCTACGCATTGGACCGCTTAGCACACCTACACATGCTGCAGTTCGTGTTGTAGTAACATTTTATGAACTCTGTGTAGACTTTGATGGCAACAGTGAGAGTCGTCCACACTTTCTGACATACAGTACTGTACACCTTTTTCCCTTTCATCCTCGGGAAGCAGGACCTGACAATCACAAAGTGGGGTGATCGTGACCAGTGACCTTTATTTAATGTTATTTAAAATTGTGCAGTGCTGAGCTATTGTCGAGTAGATCACATTTAAAATTTTGGAAAAATGTAATCGATATTGTGGAGTCAGGCTTGTAAGCAAAGAAAGTAAAGAATCAAACTGAAAACCGAAATGATAAATATCTTTTATATCGCCAGGTAAACCAAAATTCTTTGTTTTGATTAATTTCGAGCAACAAGGCTATTAATTTCATACTGTACATGCAAATGAGCTGGTAAGTGGTGGTCTGGTTGATTATTACTCATATTTAGTTAATTAAAACAAATTGCTACCTTGTATTCTTATCAAAATACTCGGTAAACACCTAGCAACCACCATTGACCCGAGTTGATAAAATGACGGGAGGCTACGGAAGCTTGAGATCATGCAAAATGAAGCAAAGAAAAATTTTAGGATGTCAAAAGATGCAATGTTTGAGATAATGAAAATGGAACTAGGGTTACAGAGCATTTCACAGAGGGTCAATAAAATTAATACAGTTGCAGCAGTTCGACTAATGAGATGGAATAGTGGGGGTAAATTTGTACAAGATATACATGATGGCTTAAAAAATAAAACGACCTTCTGGAGGCAAGGCAAGAGAGGATACAGACTGGTGAACAGCTGTTGAGAAAATTTGTAAGGATCCACCCTGGAAAGAACGAGAAGTAGAGTTAGATATTGTGCCTATCATGGTGAAGAAATCATTACATGAACCAGGACAGTTGAGGGCTTTATATGGGAATAAGATTAGTAATTTGCCTAGAATAATCACCTTGCATGTACTGTATATTGTGACGGTTCAGTTGTGTCAAGTGGCAGGGCAGTGTGTGGGATCCTTATAAGACAGTACACAGAACAAGGTACTGATGACACCGAAATTGGACTCCGGCTGAGTAATTTTATTTCATCAACACAAGCTGAGTTATAGGCAATGTGAGTAGGATTGGAAAATGTTGTAAAGAGGAATAAATATGCATATATTTTTGTTGATAGTAGGCAGCTTTGGATTCTTTGAACAGAGGGAGTCCAGTCTTTGAACACATTATTGGTTCATGTAGAAAATTAGTAAATACAATAAGGAAAAAGGCCATAGTGTTCAATTTGTATGGGTCCCTTCACATGTGGGGATTGGTCTTAACGAAGCAGTAGATATAATAGCAAAAAGGCCGAGATCGACATAATATGTATTAAAACTTTGAAACAATTAAGGAGCAAATTACGGAAAATACAACCAATAGAAGATAATTTCAAAAAGATGAAATATATGAGAAAAGTGAAACAATGAAACATTACCATCATGTTCTCATGAACACAAATTTTACATATGGGAAAGATAGGAGCAGGTGGAAAGATTGAGTGTATATGAGGTTAAGATTAGGATATAAATATTATTGGGAACTTGGAGCTGAGAGAAGTGAACAGGATAAAGAATGTTGAGTTTGTAGAACATCCAGATCCCATACCCTGCCACATTATATACTGGAATGACCATTGCTTAATGTATATAGAAATACTCAGACAAATAATGTATCCAAGCAAGTAGCATGGATGTTTAAAAATAGACAAGTTTTGATTAATTAGTTATACTATAAATATACTCGTACTATATTGTTCAGTACATCGCTTGTTGGGGACAGCTGTCTACATGGCCTGCATTTAAAAGTTAGAGTAAGATATTTTTATGTAAGTGTGAATATTATTTTTAATTTTATTGATATTTCTTTATAGGTACTTATTTTTATTAATATTATATAAATATATCAAGAAATATTTATTTATTTGAGCTTAAACTTCAATAGAAAATTAGAAATAACAAAATGAGTTAAAACTGTTTAACAGCCGTGCATAGGTTTTGCTTACAGAATTTGCCAGTTCGCTTGAACTCGGGTTTTATTTTTAACGAAAATATAGGTGCGCGAAAAAATTTGTCTATGCTATATTTCAGAC